CACCCGGGACGTCCGCCCGGCGGGAGCCGTCCTGGAGGCGGGCGGGGGCTCGGGCCCTGCCTTGCGGAGTCCGTGTCCCCCGGCTCGCGCGGCGCTGGTTTTCAGGCTGTGCTCGGCCGCGGCGCCCGCGCTCTGCCGAGGACGGTGCGAGCTCCGCGCTGCGGTTTCCCGGCGCGGTCTCCGTGCGGTCTCCATCGCCGCCGCTGTCTCGTGGAAGAAACCTGTCTTCGCGCTTAGGTCTGTATGGACGCGGTGTAACTAAATTATTTTAAAGGGCTCATCCTGTGCCAGGCGCTGCTGCGCGTGCTTTGGCGTGTACATTTATTTACTGCTCACAACTCAGTGCGTAAGTGCGTGGTTTTAGCAGTGCGAGTGCGAGTACTTAAAGAAGTTAGGTAGAGGTCGATGCCTGCGGCAGATCCCGGTCCCCTCGGACCAGTGAGCACCTCGCAGGCTGGTGCTGGCCTGTTAGATTTTTCCAAGTTTTTGAAAACACCACTGCTGTTCGTAATACAGTGCCTAAAGCAATACGAAGATACCCATTTAACTTTGTAAAAATTAATCAGTTCCCGAATGCCATTCCTTATCTTGGCTGGTGGTGCTCCTGATACCTAGACCCAAATCACACACATGGTTACACTATTATGTTTTGTTTATTCGCTCATCCCTCAATGGATCTTGGTGATTTGTGTGTGCGTGTACTAGAGAGAAAGTTACACGAACATCTCAAGCAGTGAGTGGGTTCCTGTTGATTTTTAAAATTTCTCATTCAGAAAGTTTGGGATAGCAGCACGGTATCAGGTGTTCTAATCTAATGATGACACTCATTATCTGCAGTTAGTGATCATTGAGTGTTGAAGGGCATTGGTCAACAGAAGTGAATATTTCAGTGTTTCTTTCTTTTTTTTTGGTTTTTCTCCGATACCAAGAACGGAACTCACGACCTTGCACTTGCCAGGCAGGCGCTTTGCCGCTGAGCTAAATCCCCAGCCCTATTTGTTTCACTTGGTACATTTTTGGAAAATTTTACAATTGAAGCTGTTTTTCATATTCTTTGCAAATGGCTAACTGGTCTTTATTGATTATTTTTTGTGGTAGAAATAGTGTGTTGATACAGTGCTTTACGCAGGCCGCCTCGGGCAGGTGGAACCACTGTTCCATTTCTTTTGAGTGTAGGTTGGCTGATGGAATTGTGTCTACTTTGATGCATTTTGGTTCTGCAGACCACTTAAAGGATAGTGGAGTGAATTCTTAAAGAGTGGCAAGCTGTGACTTCTCATTTGGTATAAAGTAACACAGTTATTAGAGATGAAGGTAGCAGTTATGCTGGGTGAAAATTTGTGCCTTTCTCTGATCTTGTATTTAGCAGTCTGAGATGGACACTTCATTACCCTATTTAGATTCATCTTGTAAGTAAAATGTATGTAGGTGTATTTAATTATTCTTTAACATCCGTTTGTCCTTCCATCTCCTCCTTGATTGTATAGTATAGGATTAGATAGTTTAGATTATACTCTAAACTCCTGTAGAATTCTTGAAGGAGCAAGCAGAACTCACTTGTAGAATTCTGCCTTGTATTCTCATTTTGGTATGTTTGTTCTCTGAGTTTCAAAAGTTTAATCACATTTCTTCAACTGGATTATAGCTTTTTAAGCAAAATCCTGCTTTGATAGAAGAACAACCAAATATTTCTTGTTTAATTTAAAATCTGGTAGCTTGTTTCAACCATGTGAAGAGTTCTTTCTTTCCCTTTTCTCACCACATTTCTCCAGATTTTTCACTGCCTGCCTCTCCCTCTTTCACCCCTACAGGAGACCTGGCCTGGACACCTGCTAATTTCCATTCCTTGTTCAGAAAAAAATGAAAAATCTTGTCATTTCTGGCCTAGATCATTTACACGCTCCCCCCCCTCCCGCCTTTTGTGGGTTTCTATTGGTGGACTGTAGCTTTGAAGTCCTCAGATCAGAGCATGAAGGAGAATCACCCAGGAACTTGTTGCAGTCAAGAGTTTTTAATCCTCCTAGGGACTGTGATTGTCCAGGTCTTCAGCTGGGTCAGGAATTTGCATTGGAAAAAGGACAGTCATACTTCTGATACCCATGATTTGGGTAATACTGTAGTTGGAGCTTCATAGAAGCCCATATGATCTTTTGCTGAATCTGTTCCCATAGGTCGTAAGGTACACCATTTTATATACTTCTAAGAAACAAGAAAATGTGATTATATACCTCACCCAAGTTTAGACATGTTAATGAGAGGCGTGCCTCTTAAAATCAGTAAGGCAAGGTTTTAGGTGTCTGTGGAACTAAGAGGCCTCTCTTACTATGTTAAAGTTTTATTATGAGACGCAGAATGAGATAAAAGAATTATAACAGCTTTCTTCCGATATCTTACCGTGTGAAATGTCTATAAAATAAGTTTATACAAGGTTTCCTTCTTTGCCATTGGTTTGTAATGAAGATTATACTGGTGACTGTTTTAAATGCAACTTAGGTGTATCTTGAAGGATCTTGTACTCCAGTTTGACCCTGTTGGATTTTCCTTACTTTTATTTCTAGTCATTTACTTCTACAGGCGTGGCTCGGTGCAGAAGTCTTACAGTCCACTGCAGTACTCACTGTCACTGTGACACCAGGTGCAGCATGATGGTGTGGTTTTGGTCTTTTCCTGCGGTTCTTTTTCGGTTCCCAGTCTGTGGCCATCGTCAGTGCCCATGAGCTGGTGATGCACATTTCCACCAGCCGTGTGATGGGCTGTCACGAGAAGTTTAGGATGCGGTGGACACCAAGTCTGTGACAGAGTAGCCCAGAACTCTGGCTGCCAGCTCAAAAACAAAAGCTGAGGTGTCCTATTGGGTACTGAAAGAGTGTGTATAGGCTAGGACAGGTCTTTCCGCCAAAATGAGAATTCGGTGAAAAGCCCAACCGCCCGCCTTCATTATAGATGGACAGCTTTATCTACAGAAAGGAAGGTTGATCCAGTCCGTTGTTTCTTCTAGAAAACATGCTGCTTTCCAGGGAGGGCAGTCAGTTAGGAAAATGTTTGGCAGAGCACAGAATTGAGAGTTGTTCGATCAGTCCTTGCTCTGTGGTAGTATTTCTAAGAGAAGCAGTAGAAACTGCATGGAAGCTGTATATCCTGCAAGTAACCCAGAGACTGTGGGGGCTATTAGGGCATAGTCACGAAGCTTTTAATTCTTTTATTTTAGATTTTTTTGATTAAAAACTTTTTTATTCTCTCACAACTTGGTAAATTGCAGCCCATAGACTTAGGTGGCCCACAAGCCAAGGTTGATTTTCATATTTTTAAGTGGGGTAAAAAATAAAAAGTAGAAAAATTTGATAGTACATGAAAATTTTAGGAGATTCAAATTACGGTGTCTAAATACAGCTTCCTTAGAACATGAGTGGATTGTTCATGTTCACACTTTTGGTGGTTGCTTTTCAGTGCAGGTATGAAGTGAAGCAGTCACGCCTCACACAGAAGTTTCCCAATACTCATCCTGTTTTGATCACAGACATAGTTATTTATTGCATGTATTTTAATGCCATACTCTTATTTGTAAATGTGAGAAAATACTACAGTAGCTCTCATAGTTGTAGTATTCTTTTCATTTCAGTATTGCCTCTCTATTTTAAATACCCTCCCACAACTTAATATTCTACTTTCTGATCTTGATCTTTATTAGTGTGGGATCTCCAGAGAAGCAGAGCCAAGAGGCAGTATATAGGCTAAATAATAGGTTGCCATGTAAATGTCCACCAGTACATAATATAGATTATAAATGTAGATGCAGACACATACAGTATAGGTATATATTATATAGATAACACAGATATGTATTTCTCATCTTATAAATATGGAAATTTTATGTGTGCAGGTAGATAATATAGCTATAGATTATATCCATGGATTCTATATTATATAGATAACATAGACATCCCTTATAACAAGGTGCATATGTTTGTAGATATGTAGTTTGTTCTAAGAAATGGTTTCGCACAGCTTGGAGGCAGAGAAGTCTAGAATCTGCATTTGGCAAGCTGGCAGCCCAACAGAGCCGGTAGTATGGTTCCAATCCATATCTGAATATATTCTCCCAGCTTAAAGGCAGAATTCTCCCTCTGTTAGAGAAAAGTTTTTTCTCTACTCTCATGCACTATCAGCACGAAAGACGTCAAAAGACCTGGGGATTTCCCCTCACTAGAAAACTGCCATCAGTTCCAGACAGTAGCTAGGTGCCCTCTAATCCATTTCAGCTCTGTTACTTTACCTGGAGGTAGTGTCAGATACCACAGGTGGAGGGCTCAGTTTCCAAGACCACCTCTTCCACGTTAGGCCCTGGTGGTTTTTACCTGTGCCTCCAGTGAACTGATTATGCACTGGTGTTCCCACAGCCTCTTCCTGGGCTTCAACTAATTTGCTTTGGTGGCTCACAGAACTCATTAAAGCACTTAGATTGACCACTTTGTGATAGAGGTTATCATAAACGATGCAGATGAAAAGGTGCCTAAGTGAGGTGTGTTGGAAGCAACACAAAGCTTCCGTGGCATCTCTGGACCCCTCCCCCAGAACTTCCAGTTCAATAATCTGAAAGTGTTTCAGACTCCGCGGTTTGGGAGTTTTGTGGAGACTGTTGAATAGGCATGTGATGTTAAAATGTGATGGACAAAAAAGGATTGACTGTAATAGACTGAAGGGGAGCCCCGAGACCTTCTTGGCCTGTGTGTGCAGCAGGGCCCATCTGGAGGAAGGAGGGTTTTATGGCCTGCTGTCAAAGGTTGCTCAGAGAATGTCTTTTTGTCCGGCCCCTAAACAAAAGTGGGTGAAGTTTAGAGTTTCTGGGATTTGTGGGGAAGACAAATTTAAAGTGTTATGGCCTGCTTTGATAGGGGAGTTATGAGCCAGGAGCTGTAGGTGAGAAATATATATATATATATATAAAACATATATTTCTATGTATATACATCATAATGTGATGATGAGTAAGGACTCAGCCTTTCTTGTTCTTTATTCAGATTACTGGTAGGTTGGATGAAGCCCACCACAGTGAGGAGAGCAATCTTCTTTACTCAGTCCACAAATGTCTTTGCACATTCACTCAGAATAATGTTTAAATACAGTCAGTCAAAAAAAAAAAAAGAGTGTATCCACACTTCAGCAGTTTGCTATACTAATGTTTAGAAGCTGGTGGCCACCACTGTGGGTACCTCATGTAATTGTAGAGGCCAAAGGTAACCTGTACTAAGCTCATGTCTCAGTAAATTTAGTATTAAAATACTGATGCAAGTTTTTGTTTTCCTGATGTTTACATTTTTTGATGGCCTTTGTATACGGACAGCTGGTGGCCCAGTCAATTAGGTGCATAAAATTAACAATCACAGAGCCAAAACATACCTTACATCCTCCCATTTGCTCTTTGACCTATTTTTAATAGTTCTTGGAAAAGCCAGTGATCCATGTGAATATTAGAATCATCAGAACCTGGTTGGTTTAGTTAAAATTGTCACTGCATTGTTCAGTTGGATTGAATTGAATGATAATTTCTCCTTATCTGTGGAACATAGCTTGTAATTTTTTTTTCTTCTGGTTTAACTAAGTGGTTGCTGTTTGTAAGTATTAACTGTATTAATGAGTGCATCTGTTTGCTTCATTTTCTTGTTTCTTTCCTGAGGTGGGAAGATTCTAACACACCAGCTTAGGCATTTTGACAAAGTGTCACATCTCAGGAATGGCTGGTTTGCAGCAGATAGTGGAGATTCCCAGAACAATTTGCAAAAGCCTATTTGACTGACATGGCCTTTTGTTAGCAGGCTGCTCGCATTAGAGTATGTCAGTGAGCAGCTGGGGTGAAAAGGAAGTGGATTTGTTTTTGAGCTTCCTTACCCTTCATAGGACCTTAGATAAATCCCTTGACCTCCTCCGTAATGCCCCATAATACCCACTAGAGCCAGAGGGCTGATAGGAGGATCACGAGAACTAATGTGTGAATTGCACCACCGTATGTATGCTTCATTTCCTAGTTTGTATTAACTGGCAGGACTTCTGCCTGGTAATTATTTTCTTGGCTTATTTTGTTGATATAAAATGGTGTTCTTGTAATTCAGCTGATTTAGAATCCACTTCTCAAGGAAAGTGGAAGTATCACTTGACTTGTGCTTTTCTTTGCTGCTCTCCATGAAGTTAATGGATTCTAAGACAGTACTTCCTTGTTTATATGGTAGTCTGATGTTTTCCTTGACTAACAACACTTCACTCAACTGAGCCAGACTAGTATTGGGGCTAAAAAAGGATCTTTAGGTTGTAAAACATGTAAAGAAATGCAAGATGCCATGTGACGTCCTACTTTGGGCTCTTGCTTAACCAGGTCACACACTTCTTGTTCGTTAGCAAGTGCTTCACTACACAGGGACATCACAGTGCCTGTCTTGGTGTTCGCTTTCGGGTCTCTGTGCACCTTATGTTGAGCAGCCTGCCTCACTTACCTGACCACTGAAACTTCTTGTTTTGGCCAATATTTCCTCCTTTGGAGCGCCTGTATGCCATGAATGCACCGTTGGAGGATTTTTTTCAAATTTATTTACTTTTAATCTGCCCTGACAGTATCTTCCAGCCACTAATATTCTGGTTTTGCTAATTGGCTGTAATTTCTATATGTCTGCCTTTAAACGAATAAGAAATTTTAAACTTTTCAATAGTTCACTCTGCATTAGAGTTCTGAGCTTCTGGTAGGGGCCTTTCCAGTCCTTTGCTGTGTTCGTTTTCTCTGGACCTATTCAATATTCATTCATTGTTGGCAGTTTGGCCTGAGGTTTTCATTATGTGTTTGCTTTCTCTTCACTGAAGTTATCGTATATAAAGATTGTCTTTGTCTTTAAATGCCTTCTTAAGAACATAAATCAGGAATGACTTGGAATTAACATATTATAAACATGCTCTGTGATTTGCTCTCAAATATATTTCACCCCCTCCCCCAACCAGAGATGCACAAACCACTTCACTGCCAGCAGCTTACAGACATAGAGGTCAGCCGGTGATGTGGGCTAGAATTTGCTGTGGCAGGGGACACTGATCCATACGCCTAGTTTTTGCCGATTTACACCTTTGTGTCATTAATTAAAGATGCTAGAACATTAAGCCAGTTAATTGAAGATGTGTTATGGTTGAATCTTAATTTGATGAAATTTTAATTTAGAGGTCTTACTAAATGTTAATTTGCTAAGAAATTTTAGTGGGAAACAACTGTATTCACCAGTCCAGGTGTGTGGTAGTTGTTTACACTGCAGTCTTAGCACTGGTGAGTTTAGAATCGGGCCTGTTGGAGGTAAAAACAGGTGGCAGGTATCTGAGGCAGTGCTGGGAGCTGTACAGGTGCAGTACCCCAGTGGGTAACGGAGACTGAAATAGAACAGCAGGTGTCTGGTACCCAGCAGCTTATCGAATTTTCAGACATTCTGCCGGGCCACACTCAGATAGGAGTGAAATTATTTTTCGGCAAGGAAAGATAAGTGAGTTGTGAATATTAGAATCAATTTTACTGGAAGCCAAAGACGATTTATAATCTCTTGGAATTCTCATTTGAAAAGCCAGGTTTTTTTATGTTTTTGTGTGATGGCTGGTGGATACTTCAGTATCTCCTGTTAACTTGTAGTGTTTTCCTAGCCTTTGGCTGAGTGGTATAAAAAGATAGATAACATTGACTTTTCCTGTCATCTGGAAGAGATTCAGATAACTAACAAAGGAAGGAAATCAGTAATGTACAACTCATGTATGTGTTGGTCCCCACTTCAGAGTAGATGTGCGGAGGACAGGAGCCCCAGGAAAAGCATGGGTCAGAAGACTGTGTCTCATTCTTCAGTGTGGGAGTGGGGCATTTCTTTTTATTTACAACTTTCAGTGAATTACTAGAGCAGATATCAACATTGAAATACAAGTATCGAACATGGTCCGAAGAATACACAATTCTGATCTTCTTTGTGAATTTAATCTTTACGGGAGATTGTTTTGACTGTGGAAGCTGTCGAGCTAAACTTGGGCATGGCTTTATTATCAGATTTTTCCTTTTTATTTTTTCATTTTACTTACGTTATCATAGGAGAGAAACATGCATAGTCTTGCAGCAGTTTTTCTTTTGTAGCATCTGTTTCCTGTGTGGTAAATAAAATTGAAGAACAATTTCATTTGATATGTAATGTTTTATCAGTAATCATCGTTGCTGGAATATTTGAAACTGTGACAGTGTAGATTTTGGAAACATAAGTTGGAAAATGTGAAAACCCATTGCTGTGAATGCTTCGTGCAATGATACCCGAACTGTGTCATATCAGAAATGAAATACCCTCACACACAGTTGTGAGCTGACTCTCCTAACCTCTTGCCCTGTTTCTACCACTAATTTTTTCCATGACTGCGTGAACAGCTTAACCTCTTTGAAACTTGCCTCAGATTGGGAGTTTGGGACTGGTCAGAAACTCCTTGGAGGTGCGCTGTCACTGGGAGCAGCGAGGAGTTGTCTTCCGGTCACGCGCTCAGCAGCCACTTCTCTCATGCATTGACTCTGTAAGATTGCTGAGGAAACAGTAGTGTCAGCTGGAGCCCCTCAGAGATGTCATGACATCTGCTTAATTACGGCTGCAGTGTGTACATTCCAAGTCAAACTCAGGTGAAGGAAGAATATTTAATCTAAAATTAATGGTGTTTGCTTTTTCTTTTGATTTTAGGAGCTTATTTAATGAAAAGTGCCATAGACTGAAAAACCAAACATGAGGGTAGCAGGTAAGCCATTTAATCTGGTGGATATAATTTTGACTTTTGGGAAAACTTTATGATGTCTAAAGGAGAGAGGGTAAATAGTGTTTCTTTGTATTGAGTACAGAGCTAAAATAAATTGTTAAGAGAAATAAATCAGACACATGAGCTTAAATATCACATGAGAGAACCTGTATTGTAAATAAAGAGCAAAATAAAAGGTAGGTTTTAAGAAGTAGGGAAATAGATCTTTCTCAATTGAGAAGGGGATCCAGAGATGGAGGGGGAAGGGGAAACGGATGGGAAAGGAATTAAGATTGGTTGTGTACGTGCACAGGAAATGTAATCATGTACTGCAAGCATGTACTAATAACGAATACAATAAGTTACTCTTCGGTCTTTGTTTAGGTAGTCAGGAAAGTCAGCAAATCACAGATTGGACATTTAGTGCGAATTATGTAAAGTTTTATGGAAGACATTTGAAATTGTGGTAAATATTTTAAGTTGTAGTTTTAATGTTTATTTCTTATATATTAAGCTTGTTTGCCTAGTATTGCATATAAAATGCCCATATGAAGAATAGTTTTGATAGCACAGGCAAGCTGATTTTTGTTTTTGCGAAAGTACAGCCTCTTGAGAAAAATTTAAAAGTTTAAACCTCTCCCATGTAAAATTAAAACTAATGTATGTAAAGAATTTAATAAAATGTATTTTTGCTCAATGTTTGTTCAAGTTCAGTGTATGAAGTAATGTTAAGGACGTTAATTTGTTCCTAAAGCAGCATATTTTTAAAAAATGAAAAAAAATGACTAGATGTTCACAGTATTAAGGTAGTTATCTGTAAGACGTTACAAAAAGACTGACCTATAAATACCTGGATGACCTCTTCCTACCTGTAGGCAATTAAATGTTTTCCCCACACTTCCTCCACTAAAGACCTAAAGAATTGCATGTTTTACAAAGGAATTTCTACTGCATATCTGCCCAACATGGAAGGTGTTACGGTTTATGTCTGTGTGTCCCCCCAAAGCCTCATGCGGTTACGGGGCAGGCTATTAGAGTTTAAATATGAGTGTGAGAGCTATGCCCGCCCAAGAGTGGATAGTTTACATATGTAAGGGAGAGGAAAAAAGTGCTTGGGGCATTCCTGCCCCATTCCACCCTGGTGTGTGTGCTTGCGGCTTAGCTGTGTTCTGTCGCCAGGAGCTTTAGCTCTTTGCCATGTGCCACTCTGCCTTATAATCTGCCAAGTACGGACTGAAACTTCCACAAACTGTAAGCAAAATAAACCCTTCCTTCCTTCATTTTGGGCGTCAAGTATTTTGTCCCAACAGCGAAAAAAAAGTAACCAAGACAGAAGGCAACTTACAATTTCTCAAAATCAAAATAATTGGTCTTTAATTTTTGTCTCACTGGAAAGCTAAATATTTTCCTTTAAAAAAAAATCTCTTAGGGAGCTGGGGATTTAGCTCAGCGGCAAAGCGCCTGCCTGGCAAGCGCAAGGTCGTGAGTTTTGTTCCCGGTACCGGAGAAAAACCAAAAAAAAAAAAAATCTCTTAAAAATATGTCATATCAGGAGAGGTGAGCGAACAAATCTTCATACTTTGGTCATAATTGTATAGAGTCAGGCACAGTTGATCAGGCATCGTGATTATTAAACAGATGTAATTGAAGGTTGTTAAACGTAACTGACAGTTGTTACCAATGCCTTTGTGAAAATTTTGAAAACTGGATCTCTTTGCCATGAAGTTACAAAACATCTTGTAAAAGTAATTGTACAGTTGTTGAAGAAAAGTCTCCCAGAAACCACAAACTCATTTGTGGTTTAAAAACACATGCAGTATCTTTTCTTGAATGATCTTTTTGTACAGTGGTATTATTTAATTTTTATCTCTCTGGATGATTTTAAAGTATATTATTTAAGCATGATGACCTTAAAAGCAAGTTTCTATTTGGCCCTAATAATTCTAACTTCATTCTAGTTTAAATTAACTTTGTCATCTAGTCCATTTCTCAGATTCTGACAACTAATGACCCAGTCAGTTGATGAGGAATTATTCACTAAGTGTCTATTTTATGTTTGGCACTGTCCCTCATATAGATCTATGGGAAATGCCTTAGTGAACAAATAAGGAAGATTAGCTGTTAGTTTATTGATTTTTAATAAAGTAGTCTCTATTTAAAATAATACCAGGTTGCTTTGAAGTATCCACATAACCATTACTCTGACAGATGAAGTTTATGCTCTCTGGCTTGTGAAAAGCAGGAACATCTACCTGCCTTCGATGGCTGGAAAGAGAAGGGAATTTCATAGAAGGTTCAGGATGGCAATTGTGTGGTATGGTGACAGAGCTTTCCAAGTCTATAGCTGAATACTGGTTCTGAATCAGGCCAGCTCTGCAGAAGGTTGACCAGAACCAGTTCCAAAGACAACGCTAGTTTCTCTACCTTTAGCGTTTCTGTTCCTTAGAACTTTTGTTTCTTCCTGGTTCCTCTGATGGTCCACTGTAAGCAAATAGGTCTTGGTGTAGGTGCTGCCACTTACTAGTTCTAGGAAAGTGATATAAAATTTTAGCCTCACTTTCCATTTTTGTAAAAGAAAGTGATATTTGAAAAGCTGTGTAAAATGAGATTATGTCCTAGTGGCCAGAAAGCAGAGATAGAAGGGAGGAGCCAGGAAGAGAGATGGGCCGGTCTGGGTCCTGCCCTGAGTGATCCACTGTAACTGCCTCGCCTCTACTGGCACTTTCAGGTGCTGAGCTCATTCATTAGTGAGTGAATCCAGTCACCATTCAAAAGCTCCATCCCTGAGCAGAGGCGAGTTTGGGGGACACTGTGAATCTAAACCATAACATGTACTACATAGAAAATGTATTTATTTTTGTAGCTTTTTTATTTAGAGTCAGGTTTAGTTTCTATAAAATTTAGACTAGAACTTTCTTTTATGAACTTGATTTTTAAAAACTCATTTTAATATCCCAATGTTCAACAATAAAAGTTTCTTTCACATTTCTGCTTTCTGTACAGATAGGGAGATGTTATCTATGGTTACACATGCTCATAATTGCTAGAAAACAAGATGGTCATACTAGCATGTAATATATAATCTTTAAGCTGTGGCCTTAAATGATCAAGAAAAATACGCCACGTGTTATCATCCGTCTACTTACCAAAGAGTTGCTGATGCTGTTACTGTGCACGGACCACTTGGCTGAACCCTGGTAGGAAGGGTTCAAAGCCTAATGAATTTTGTGCTCTTCTGCACTGAAAATGGAGGCAGTTTGTAGTTGCTCTTAAAGACTAAGGTAGAAAATGGAAAAGAGAGCCAAGGGAGGATTAGTGATTATACTTCCTTGTTGCCAAATTGCTGTATTGTTAGAACTTTTTTTAAGGCTTTATCTTTTAGAGCAGTTTTGGGTTCACAGCAAAATTGAAAGTACAGAGACTTACCATTTAGCATCTGTTCCCTGCTTGCCACATGCATAGCCATTAATAGTGTTTCAAAGTAGCACCGAGTAGGCTTTGAGGAGCTACTGCTTCTCCGCATCCTTGCCTCACAGAGAACATCGTCAGTTCATTCCCTTCTCTCCCCTCTCAGGGTGCAGTCAGTTCTTTCCAGGTGTATGAAATCAGAATGAGATAATTTGGTTTTAGAGTGCAGTATTGTACAAACCACTTGGCTTTGTTAGGCTTCCTGGATTCTGTTCTTGTGCTACCACTAACTTACCTATAATTCTGAGTGATGACCTCACTTCCAGGCCTTTTTTTTTTTTAAAGAAAGACAACTGCTGGCCTTTTCCACCTCTTTTACTTTCTTTTTTGTTTTTTTTTTTGTTTGTTTGTTTGTTTTTGTTTTTGTTTTTTCTCCGGTACCAGGAACCGAACTCACGACCTTGCGCTTGCCAGGCAGGCGCTTTTTGCCGCTGAGCTAAATCCCCAGCCCCTCTTTTTTGTTTTTGTAGTCGCACTGGGCTGCATCCCAAGCCATCTACCTCTTACATAAATGTAAATTAAGGAGCGGGGAAGGGAAATTTTATAAACATGCTAATGTTCCTGAATTAGCTAATGCCGTAGCTCTGCAATCATAAGTTTAAGAAGAAGATTTCTTTTTTTGCTAGTTATTTTTCTATTTCTTTTCTTATCTTGCACTTTTTCCTTTACTAGATCTAGTAAACCTTGGAGAAAAAGCAAAAGGGATCATTCATATTAAGCAGTAATATCAGTGATAACTATTTGTAAGACACTCAGACATAAATAAAGATATAAAGTTGTGAAAGATGAGTCATCTGCCCTTGTGGAACTCACCGTATAATCTTATAAAGTACAAGATAGATGCCAAATTATGTCCTCCAGGAGTAGAAGGCCTGTCTTAACCTAAGTATTAAGTGTAAGTTGTACCATGCTATGAGTGGTGTAGCTCTAGGAAATATGTTGTTAAACCTGTTACATTTCCCTTGAGAACATTTTGCGTAGTGGATGTCTTGGCCTTGTTATCTCCAGAAAGTCCAGTGTTCTTGTAGCCTTTCTATATAGCACTGCCCTTTGTATTTGGAAAGGACTGGAAATTGCATCATCTCTCATGACACTTTTATGTAGTTAGCTAGCAACTGATGACAGGTAAGGCTTTTTGCTTGTAAAAATAGAATTTTAAGTAGTCGCAAAGAAGTTTAAAGTGCATAACAAAAAATTCTGTAAGCCCATAGACTCATGCTGAATTATTTCTGCCTTTTGTCTAGGAGCTGCAAAGTTGGTAGTAGCTGTGGCAGTATTTTTACTGACATTTTATGTTATTTCTCAAGTATTTGAAATAAAAATGGATGCAAGTTTAGGAAATCTATTTGGTAAGTTTCACTTTTTTTCCTTTTTAAACATTATTTTTAATGTGGTTGTCTAAATTTTTATCACTTCTCAACACTGAGTCACTGCTATTTACCCAGTCTAGAAAAAGAATTATCAGCAAATGTGATTTGTTAGGATATTCTAAAATGCATAAGAAGTCTTAGAATTTAGTATAAAGTAATGAATCTACTATTCAGTACTTCGAACACATTTTAAAAGACTTTTATACCTAGTGAGAGGGATTAATCATGTGTTCTAAATGCACATTGTAGAAGATACTACACCCCTAAGATTAAGTTGTTGGTTACTAGAAAACTTGGACCCAAATCTAGCCCTCAGTTACCAAATGATTAGGAATCACAATAGTGGATGTTAAATATTGGTCATTAAAATTCATCTTACTTTCTGTGACTTTTTTTGGTGACCTTTTTTTGGTATCCATGTAATGTTTCTATATGGTAAATGTACCGTCACAAGGTAATTTAACTCAGTTTTTAACAAAATCCGTAAGTTAATGAAATGGAACCGATTTAATGCTATTTTAGAAGATTGTATGTCTAAGTATCTAATGTGTATTTCTAGTCTATAAATATACCATTATGAGAATAAAAAATAGAACTTACTGTTTATTAAAGTGGCAAGTGCTTATATTTAACTAAACCTCTGTGTAAAGCTAAGTGAGTCTTTTGGAGAGACTGTAGGCCCTCATTATTTGAATTTAGAGACATTACTGATACTTTTCATAGACGCTTGTATTAAATAAACTTTGGCTGCAATGTTGTTTAAGATATTGAAAATTAAGCATGAAAAGGGAAATTGTAAAACCTAGAAACAGTGTTTTGGCCTAGTAGGCAGAAATGAATGAAAGAACTCTGAGATCTCTGAATTAGTGAGTTTTGCTTTGTATGAATTAGTACTTGGAAGGAATCCTCAAGATTTAATTTACTGTCTCTCCCGTCCAAGCTCAAGACTTTATACCAAGTGCTTCTCAAAAGAATCTCTAGAAAATCTTGACTAATCCACATTCTGATTCAGTGCCTGGGATGTGCCCTGAGTTCTGCATTTTGAATGCACTTCTTGGTGGTAAGGTTTTGTGTGCGGACCACATTCTGAGTAATGGCTTCAGATGATTTTTATGTATTAACATCTCAGGTGAGTTTCTTACCAGGACAAGTTAGCATACATCTCTGTGTGCTGTTTAATGTTTTGTACTCCTGAGTACTTTCAGTCCTTGATCTTGCTTCTGCTTGCTAGAACGCTCTTCCACATGACAGTCTCTCAGGTGGTTAGAATGTATGTATTCATGGTCCTTCAGACCCCCTTACACATTTTCATCTTTTCAAGTAATGAAATCCTCCTTCATATTCACTCGTCTTGATGTATTGATCATTTTTTTCCTGAACTTGGTTGTTTTTAAGCCCTCTTCTTAAAATGAGATCAACTGGAAGTGGTTATTGCACAGTATAATGCCACTCCCTATTTTTTCCAGTCTGTGTGTGTTTGTCAGCACCTGGGGGCCGGCCTGCGACCTCTGACAGTGCAGCTACTTGCATTTGAATCATGGAGCAGAAACCATGTTGATGACATTGAGGTTTTGTTCATTGTTGCTCTGGAAGTACAGTGAATAGCTGATCCTTCTAAGAAACGTGCAGGGTGAGGGAAGATTATTAGAGGGTGGTAGCTTATATAGAAACAGGTGTTTTTCCTTTTAAAGTAACAGACTTTCACTTAACCTATAAATTATGAGTGAAAATTCTGTGAGTGACAAATCAATGAAAAGAGATTGAACAGACAAAAGAAGGATAGTCCTTGAGTGAAGGGCGCCCACAGAACCATTGGTACAAATAGAAGAATTTTTTGGAGAAAGATCCACTGTTTTTAGAGAAAAGTGAAAAAGAGCTTGCGTGAAGCCATCGTGTGGCACAGTCATTGTATACTTGCAGCTAGCTGGTGAGTCCCCTCCAGTGCTTGCGTCTGTCCCCACCCTTGGCCCCTGTCTCCTCCTAGTCTGGACCTTCATCTCTAGTCCACATTGTTTCTTAAACACTGTGGTAATATCCCCGTGTCTCCCTCTTGTCTTTGCTGTGTGTGCATCTCACCACTCACGCGTCATTCTTGGAAACTAATGAACTTTTAGTACTTTCAGTTCCTGGAGAATAAAATACAAAGTCCATGGTCAACATGACACTCAAAGCCCCAGCCTGTCCTTCTGAATTGTTCTCTACACCTGCCCACCTCAGATATCACCCGTGCACTGCTACAGAGCTTGTCCTGTCCTTTTCTGCGTTGGCCTTTGCTCATGCTGATTCCATACCTTGCACACCTCTTTCATCAGCATGTCTCCTCATAACCATCTCACTTTTGAGAGCCCTGTGTCATTGCCCACACTTTGGAGATTTGTTTGCGCCTCCTTCTTTACCTGAGTGTATTGCTCCTCTTTCTGAACTGTTGTTTCTAATTGCATTGTACCTATGTCATTTTAGCACTGCTTTTATTCTGCTTTACCTTGTAAGACCTTCCTGCTTTTTCTTTCTCCTGTGTCTGTGTCTTCCCACCAGAGGGAGGGCATTAACATCCTGGTAGTTTGCCCCACGTTAGCACTGGGCCCTGCAGATAAAAATACTGATTGAGTTTAAATGAATGGAGATAATTGAGAATTCATATTTTTATGTGAGAAAGAAGAGTATTTCCAAAGTGGAAAAAGGAGGGTAGTCAGTTGAGAACAAATGCTCAGTACTTTAACTAGGATAGTTATCTCTCCTGATTTGCATTTAAATTTTTCGTAAATGTTAAGTACCTGCAAAGTTCTACGGTGTGCATTGTAGCTATTTAATTTAGGTATCCTTAGAGCAGATGCATGTTTTGATGTCAGAAGTGAAGTAGTATGTCTATAAAACCTTATTAGATTCCAGTCTGGTGGATTGGTGAAAATTTAATTTGTGGGTTTTATTTTATTCCCATTTCAGACTACTATCAAAATGAATTATGTGTTATCCTCTGTAATTTATTTACTGTCTCACTTAATTTATCAAAGAGTAGGAATATAGCCCAGTATCGGGCTAGTTTATATGATCAGTATTCCTGGTGCCTACTAGTTCTTCTAGTGATGAGTTTTCTATTTTTCCCCCCTTGTTGGTACAGCAGCTTACTCGATACTTGATAGCTTCTCTAAGTCATTGTGACTCAGGTTTAGTATGTAGTATTTTAGAAAATTAAAACAAAATTTTTATTGAAACTAGTTGAAATTACAAGGTAGATGGTGATTTTTGTTGTTTTTTACAATGTTTTGGTCTGAGGATGTAGTTCAGTTATAGAGCATCTGCCTAGATAGAGTGTGTGAGGCTCTAGCTTCAGTCCCCAGCACTAAAAAACAAACAGGAAGTCTTGTGATTAATAAACTGATTTCCCCAAAATTATATCTCAGTGATGTTTCATTTTTTTTCCTTCAGATTGATGGCAGTTACTGTTTTCATACCTTGAATTTGTAAGCAAGTTCCAGGACCACTCCTTCCTGGATTTTTCTGTCTCCTTTTTTTTAGCCTCTCTGGGTTGCTAAGATTCCTTGGCCTCTGGTGTCATTATTTGATAATTGACAGCCTCATCTAGTTCCTGATTTTCCAGGTTAGGTTTTAATGCGAGTTCCTTGGTACAGCAGACCTCTATGCTATTATACTTGTATCTTCTTCAAAAGTGTCCTAAAATTAGCAGGTCCAGCAGAATCCCTCATATATCCCTTAGTAATACCCTTACTCTTACAGACATCTTCAGCACAAAGAAGATAGGAGTGCTTTTGTTCAGTGGCTCATATGAGTGAATACTGTTATGGTTTGTGTCTGCATGTCCCGCAAATCCTCATGCAGTCATGGGGCGGGCTTCTCTTCTGGATATTTGATTGATCCATAGTCCAATGCTGGGATTATGTATGGGTGTGAATGCTATACCCGCCCTGGGGTGGGTAGTTTGCATACAGTGTAAGGGAGAGAAAGAGGCTGCCTGCTGCCATTCCTCTGTTTCGCTCTTGTTGCTTTTTGCTGTTTTCCATGCCCATGAACAGTTGCCCTCTGCCATGTGCCACTCTGCCTTGGAGCCAGCCAAGTATGAAACCTCCACAAACTGTGAGCTAAATAAACCTTTCCTTCCTTAATATTGGGCATCAAGTGTTTTGTCTCAGCAACAAGAGAAAAGTAACCAAGACAAATACCCAGATGCTTTCAAAGCCACATCCCTGACCAGTATCCAGATTCTTTTCTTCCAGTACCCTTGACCTGATCCATTCTCAAGTCTTGTCAGTGTTGTTTCCTTGGTTTCTGAGTCTACTTTTTTCAGACCCACAGTCGCTACCTTTCATATTTTCTTTCCCCAAAACTGTCTTTTTCCTGGGTTACTGCAGCAGCATCCGTGACAGCTCACTTTCTCTACTCTTGAACCTCTGCAGTCAAAAGTGTTTGTTCTAAAGATTTCTTGTCCTGCTTCCTACTCCCAGCAGGACTAGCAGTTTTCGTGTGTGTGGTCAGAAGACCTCAGTCATTTCCATTTTCAGAGATGGTCAGTATGAGTTCGAGTGCTAGTGAAAGATGGCTTTAGAATCTACCTCTGCTACATTCAGTAACTGTGATCTAGAACAGGTCAAGTCAGTCAACCATTGTGGCCTCAGTTTCTTTATCTTTAAAGAAAAAATATGGTCAAGTCAGTAGCACATACAGAGGTGCTTGTCAGAGGGAGAGTCCCACCATATGTGAATGGTGTATAATTAAGCCCTGTTCTGATCCTACTGTCTTCCCAGTACCTCACTACCATAGGTGAGGTGGACCCGAGTTCCTGACTTTAACACTGCTGCTTTCTAGAAATTGTCACACCTGAGCCAGGTAATGCCTGTATTCAGGACACAGTGAAGTTGAGAATTCCTATGCCTTATGCTCCTGAGCTTTAGTTTTCTCATTTACAGAAGTAAGATCATTGGATTAGAGCTCTGTAATTGTTTCCCCTTTTATAATATAATCAAGGAAAATGACATGATTAAGAAAATTGAAAGAATGGACCCTAGTAATGTAATTCCAATAACTAAATTTACTAACTTTTAATTTTTTTGTTTTCTTCAAGTCTCTGTCCTTATGAGTGAATATTTTTAGTGTTTAACCTTATGGTATGGAGAGTTTGTTTTCTGCTCTATTCCATATATTAAACTTTTTCCACATCATTTATTGTACTACCTTTATGATTTATTAAAGTCATGAAGTACATAATCTGGTGAGTGCTCTGTTGAGTGAACAAGGCTTCACTTGGTTATTTTCCTCCTTTTGAACGTTTATATACTATCTTTCAGCTTTAACTTTTGTTTTGCCGTTTGAATATTGGACTAACAGGAAATTCACACTTATTAAAAATAGTACAAAAGTAAAAACAAGTGACTACTTATAGTCAGACAGCTGGCTAACATTTATCACACTGCATACTTATTAGTCAGATCCGGAAATGGGTAGCGACAATGCTTTAATACTCTGTTACAGTTTCCCAGGCTGGGATCAGATGTTGGCACTTCCAGCCACAGCTAAGTGTAGCTATGCTAGATGGCCAGATTGAGATCTGCAACATTCGTGTTAAGGTTTGACCTTGTGGATTCCTTGAACCTTATCTGAAATTCTTAGTAATGACCTTTTAAACAATTATTATTATACCTAATACATTTCTATTTTGGAGGAATTAAAGCTCCCCACTCCTTACCATCCCCTTCTTTTCCATCCCCGATACTCTTTTTTTAATAATTTTTAAAATTTGTATTAGCACGTTTGCAGTGTACAATGCTTACTTTCCTTGTGTAGAGTTGTCATGTGGACATAACATATCTTAATTCTTTCTTTCCCATGCCCACAAGAATTCATGTGCAAGTTCCTGTATAATACCATGAGAACTGTATTGAACATCTGTTGACTTTGTTATGATTCATTCTTTCTGATATGGGTGTTGCTGAACGTTGGAGTTAGATCTTTATTTTTGTTTTTATGTTGAAGTAATTACATTAGAATGCAAAGAAATCAATAATCAAAAAATGGCAAAATACCAAACAGAGATTAAGACTGTGGAACTGAAGAGACCATACAGTTTTCTTTTTACAAAATAAGGATTTTCAAAAATGTGTTGTGCTCCTACTTAGCCTTGAAAGAACAGGCAGTTGTGTCCTCTGAGACAGCATGGGTGAGCCTCCGATTGTTTCTGCAACCCCTATGTTATTTCATTGATCTACAAGTATGATTTTTAAACTAATATCAAGCTTTTTTTTAAATCACCATAGCTTTGTGGTATAACCTGAAATCCAGAATTGTGATGTTCCCTTCCTTGTCCTTGTTGCCAAGAATTATTTTAGCTCTTCTCCTTTCTAACCTAGCCAACAAGATAGATTTATATATATTCTCTGAAGCTTTATATGTATATGTGCTCAGTATCATACAGCTGCTATAAATTTTAATACCATAATTATTTAGCAGGTGTATATTTATAGTCATTTAATGGTAAGTTTGTAGAGTAACTTTCTGATTGAGATTTAAATATATAATAACTAAAACAACAAAATGTAAAGGTAAAAATAGAATTTTCTACCATACTGCTACTTCCATTATTCCTCAACATAATAGTTTATAAAGTGTTGTATAAAATTAATTTTCTGAAGTGGTACTCATATTTCACTTACTGTATACTGAGTATTCAAACACATATTTTTATAAGCCTGTTGGAAGCTCTAGATGTGTTTATAAAATGGACACTTGTCAAGAGGCTTATTCTAACAACGGTAACTTTCTTTTTTTTTCCTTAGCAAGGTCAGCATTGGACCCAGCTACACGTTGTAAGTAATTCATGTTAATATTTTACAAATATATATTCATCCATATTTTAGGCACATGAGAGTTTATACTTAGGCAGTGCTGATAGTTTAGTGGTAGTAGGAACTGACTTGAAAATTGTGTCTCAAAGTTATATGCCTGCAGGCTGGGGATATAGCTCAGTGGTAGAGCATTTATGTAGTTTGCTTGATGCCCTGTGTTGAATTTTCAGACCCACCAAATAAACAGAAGTGTGTGTAAAATTATATGGGTGCTATTTGGACAGCCCAATACCATTGGTATTTATTCATTATGAATATTTTCTTCCATGAGTAGTTTTTAGGTCCAGTTTCCTAAGTCTAGAAGGTAATAGAAGAGTCAAAGGAGAATTTCTAGTTCAAGGTGGCTAGTGGGACATTAGGCTTTCTAGTTATTCTTGAGATAATTGATTTTTATGGATCTGTAGACTGGAAATGCAAAGTAACAATTTTAAACTTCCTATATCATAAAATTTAAAGATAACTTTAAGCATATTCATTGAGTGTATTATATACACTTGGTCCATTTATACCAGTTACTAGTTTTTGACCCAGTAGGGTCTAGTTTTGTTATTGTATTTTCTTGTTGTTTTTTGAAGTTCTTTGAAACCTTTATGGGGAAAAAATGCTAGTATATATTTTAAAATATGTGTATGTTGATATTTTACATAATGTCTTCGTGGTTTGAAATGCAAAGCAGATTGTAGAGTCTGCTAATTTATTCTCTAACAGTAACGACCACACAATCCTATTTCTCCCTCAAAGCTACAAAACCTCCCAGATACAAATGTGGGATCTCGAAAGCTTGCCCCGAGAAACATTTTGCTTTTAAAATGGCAAGTGGAGCAGCCAATGTGGTGGGCCCCAAAATCTGCCTGGAAGACAATGTGTAAGTATGTGTTGATTGGATGCTGCAGGCGTGCTGTGAGTTAAATTACAGCTAGCGAAGCCTGATGGGCTCAGGGGATCTTCTGAGAATGGACTGGATATGCTTTTACTAAAGGAAAGTGACTTTAATTATCATATAATTTTCCCCGTGAATTTAAAGTTTGCTAATTTTTTTTTATTAGCAAATGACTAAAAATGCAGAATTTATCTAGCTTTGTGTAGAGTGAGGGATTTCCTCTGAGAAGATTCTGTAGATTTGCACTGTCCCATTTGATAGGTATCAGGCACATGTGGCTGTTTTTAAATTTTGCATACCAGGGAGAAAGTTCATTTAAAGTAATTAACATTAAAAGCTCAGTGCTCAGGCATTTCACATTTCACATGCTCAGTAGCCACTGTGGCTCCCGGCTCTCTGTTTGAACAACCCAGTTAGAGAACTCAATGATGGCCTAGTCTCACTGACAACATGCTTATGAATGATGAGCACTGTACCTTGCGAACCAGCATCTCTCATTGATAATGCTCGACTGCTGCTGTGAAATGTGAAGTAATCACATGATAACCACAGGACTGTTGCTGCACAAATTCCTTGCTCCTAAGCTGCTTTCCTATGCTGAGATGCTACACAAAGTATGGTTTGTAGGCTTTTTGGAATCTTAGTGTCACCTGCCACCTATGATCGGATTTACTGTTTCTGTGATTACAAACCCCACTTTCAGTTGGTTACTTTTAATCAGATTGCCTGGAAAGCTAGATACATGAGCACATTTAAATTTGATGTGGAAAAGTAAATATGACATTGAATTCTGTGAAGACTAAGGTGATGTTAAAGAAGTTAAAGGAGACTTACCTATCTATACTAGGCAGTTTCTCCCAATACTTTTTTATATCTCTTCTTTTTAATATAGAAGCTCTTACATTTTTTTATTCTGGCCCCTTTTGCAGTGAATTAGCTGTGAGAAAGTTGTTCTTCCTCATGGATAAACTTTCCTGAAAATTTAGGGCTTGAGCTAGATGATCATCAGGACCTCTGCTTACTTTTTATTTGTCCTTCATGCTACTGGTGATCCATTATTAACAAACTGTCTTTGGCACCTCATTATACCTGTCTTGTTTTACCCATATGCGATAAGGCACTTAGGTAAGTTTGCTGTTTTTTGAAATATTCCCGTTCTCCCTGTTTGCTTCAGCTGGCTAAGAGACTCCAAGTTGCTAATCTAAATGCGGTAACAGGTAAAAAGCTCTTAGGCTGCAGATTCTCCTCAGATGTCTACTCCTGCTTAGCATGTATAAGCATAATAAAAAGTGTTTTTTGTTTTTTTTTTTTACTAGTGTGTTTTGTCTTCAGGGATTATATAGGTGAGAAAGAAAAGTGTGGAGGCAATAAGCCAGAGAATTTGCTTCTAGCACAGTGGGCGAGGCATATGGAATTTGTACTGTATATCAGTTTCTTTAACCATAAAATTGAGTCTGGCCAGTAATCCATCCACATTTTAAGAAACATTCTGTCATTCCCATGAGAAATTAATTGATGGGACTTTATAGCTAGGCTTAGGTCATGAAGCTAGTCTTGATAGCAAGGCTGGATAATTGGCCAGAGATTCCCCAGTGGAGGCACTACAGGGACCCAGGCGTAGTCCAGTGGTTTTTGCAGTATATTCTCTTTGATCTTTAAAAGATTCTTTTTAAGTTTAAAGAAGCTGATTTTCTGAGCCTTACTCACTGATCGAACGTGGTCCCTCATGTCCCAGAACTTGCAGTCTCGTAACAGCGAGAGATGCTTAAAAAGTAAATGCGAAGGCATGTTTGTAAATTGTGGCTCCGTCTCTACCGGCTCCTGTGTGATGCGTACTGATGGGAGTGAGCGAGAGGTGGCGTCCTGACTTGGAGTGAGGTCACAGAGGAGGTTCGGAGACAGTGATGTGCAGTCAGAGTGCAGGGACGAGCAGGATGACAGCCAGGTAAAGAACGGACAGGACGTGTGTGCCAGAAGACTGAGATGGGGAAGCTCTGAAGAGAAGTGAATAGGGCCCGACTATGTAGGGACTTGTAGGCAACACGGGTGAAGGGTTGAAATTGTTTTCTGACCGCGTCAGAAAGTTGTAGAAAGTTTTCATGCTCTGGCGTGTTATGATTTCACTTGTGTTGAAGAACATAATCTTTTGGCAGTGTGAGGTGATGATGGAATAGAGGAAGCATTAGAAGACTGTTGCCAGGTACGGCCAGCTCTGTGATGCTGCCTCCCTGCTGGGAACATACTAGTACCCCCTCTAAAATGTATAAGTGGATAATGGAATTATGTAAGTGGAAATTATTATATTTTGTTGGACCTGCTCTGAATGCGTGCAGGTTACTTTGGAGACTATTAATCTAGACCAGTGTATCTCTCTGGGGGCAGTTTCGCTTCCCAGGGCGACAGTTGTCATTTGTCACGGCTGTGGAGGTACTGCCCACTGGGTCGGAGGTGCTGTGAAGCAGTGTTTACGGTACATGTCAGCCCCTCACAAGAACGGTCAAGCCCGTAATGTCACCATCAGCCAAGTGTGAGATGCTCTGACAGACAGAAAGTGGGAGTTAAGCTTTCTGTTAAGACAGAAAGTGTTAGTGACATTATGAACAAGCGAAATCAAGGTTATAAAGACTGAAAGGAATTTTAAGTCTCATTAGCTAAGCTGGAAAACCCTGGGTATAAACATCAGGTATTCTGCAAAACAGAAATCGTATCCCCCCATCTGTTAGAGAATCCATAGAACTTAGGTATGTTCAAGTTAAACCTTTCATCTAATACTGATTTGATGTGTTTGTATGAAATTGATATTAGTAATATGTCACCTTTTATTATCATTTGAATCCTTGGTACCAAAATATACAGGTAATTTAGAATATTTTTTTAAACGAAGAACCAGATGCTGTTTTTATTGGTAAGGGCCAGTAGGTGGAATCAAGACGTTCTGCTTATAAAATCATTTAAAATGTACCCAGGTAAACATGTAAAGACCATTCTAAACTCATGAGCCGTGCATCAATAAGAAAAAAGAAGAGGAAGAAAGGGAAAGGAAAAGGCTGACTGCGTTTGGCTTGTAAGCAGTAGTTTGCCAGCTCTGGCCTTAGTATTTTAGGATGTAGTGACTATGTAGTGTGATTGAAACATACAGTGAATACATGTTTCTTAGAAATTCATTTTGAAGAAACCTACTCATCTCCTTCAGAATATCCCCTGTCACTTTAAATATGCTCATTCCATCACTCATAGCACTTTGTGCAGGAGTCCTGGAAGTGCTCTTCCATGATTGTCATTAGTTGCCCTGACATAGCTGCCCAGATGTCCTGATCGATTCACAACATTTACCTTTCATGGTCATTTTGACTTTGGAGAGGAGCCAGTAGTCACACAGCACGAGATCTGGTGAATGAGGTGGATGAGGACAGACCATAATACTTTTAGGAGCCTATCTTTAGATTATATGGCACTCAGCAGCACCATTTATGGGGTTTTTTGTTTTTTTGGATTATATCTTATAAACATACAAAAGCAGATTTGCAGAACTGCTTAAGAATGTGGTAAGAGTTACGGGATAAGCAGAGGCAGAGAGGGCTGTCCTAAGGAGGATCAGTGGGTGATGTGTTTTTTGTAAAGTTGCAACCTTCATTGTGTGTTCGTACATCATAGAAACTGTATATGATGTGTACATATGGGGCCATTCCTTTTAGGTGTGTACTTGGAGATGTAAGTTGTGGAAGTGGGGACCTTGATGTTCATAAGTGGGTTTGGGGTTTTTTTTGTTCGTTTTTTTTTGTTACATGTTTTCTTGTGAATTTGTTTTTAAAAACCGATAAGCTGCTGCCCTCTTGTGGGAATCCTCTGTCATCGTGCTTCTTTTTTAACCTTCATTTCTTTGCTTTATGATGAAGTTATGTTTATTAAACAGAACAACATACTCAGAGATGGAAAAGCCTCTGTGGATTTAATTACTAACCCAACAAGTTGAATATAGCTATTGATGCTTAGTATTAATGGCAGAGTTTATTATGTACTATATTTTTGAAATATATTAGTGTGTTTTGAAACCCCCTTCTGCAGCAGAGCCAACACGTCTAATACAGCCTGACCTTTCTTGTATGTGTGCTCAAGACTAGTTCTTTCATTTGAACAGCTTTGAGATGTGATTCACAGACTATACACTTCACTCCTGTAAAATTACAATCAGTGGGTTTGAGTATTACACTAGGCTTGTGCAAACTCTGCCACAAACCAGTTAAAGACAGTTCTTTTCCTTGCAAGAAACTACTTTCAGCTTTTGCCATCCTACCCTGCCTCCCACCCCAAAGCCATCAGTAGCTGTTAGTTTATTTTCTGCCTCGATAGATTTGCATATTTGGTTATTTTGTACAAATGCTGTCACATGTGTTCTTTGTGATTGGCTTCCTCGCTTAGCATAATGGTTTCAAGTTTTGTTCATGTTGCTGCCTAATCAAAACCTCATTCTCTTTGTGTCTAGATAATGCTCCTTTGTATGGAGGGGGTCTTAGTTATTTTTCTCATTGCTGAGACAACATACCCGATGCCCAGAGTTAAAGCAGGAAAGCTTTATTCAGCTCACACTTTGCAGAGATTTCAGTCCGTAATCAGCTGGCTCCAAAGCAGGGTGGTGTGGGAGACAGGCATCGTAGAGGAGAAACAGTCCATGGCAGGCAGAAGGTAGCAAAGCAACAAGGGACGACCACAATTCTCTCTCTCCCTTATATCTTAGCCAGGCTGCTTAGGGCAGGTATTGCTCACACCCTTAATCCTAGTGCCCTTAATCCTAGCATTGCAGCATGAATCCTAGCATCACACATTTCAGATCAGCCACCTCTGAAAAATCCCCACATATGACTGCATTAGTCTTTGGGAGGGAACACCTAAACACAAGACGGATGCTGTAACAGATGGATGATACCACAATTGTTGACCTGTTCATCAGTTGATAGACATTTGAAGTGTTGCCATTTGTGCTATTGACTGTTTTTATATCTTTGGAGAAATAGCTCTTCTTTGTGTTTTTTTGTTTTTTTGGTCTTTTTGAGACAGGGTCTTACTATGCAGTTCAGGCTGGCCTTGAACTCACTTTGTAGCCAGGCTGGTGTTGAACTCACAATGATCTTCCTGCCTCAGCCTCCTGAGTGCTGGAATTACAGATGTGAGCCACCACATCCAGTTCTTTGTCTGTATTTAAATTGGGTTATTATTGAGTTCTAATCTTTGATTTTTTAGATAATATATCTCTTCTGCCACTGTCGTTTTATTTAAGGTAAGTTTCTTATAGACAGCATGTAGTTAGGTCCTGTTTTAACCTGTTATGTTAATTTCTGTCTTTATTTGATAGTTTAAAATAGATACAGTTGCAGTTATTAATGCATGAGGACTTGTTTGCCATTTTATTTTTATTCTATTTTTACTTCCATTTTATTGTGTTTCAATGCATTTCATGAACATCTAAAATTTTTTCTTTTAACATTTATAGTACTTCTGAGTACATCTGTGTGTAGCTTTTGGGGTGATTGCTCTGACTACAGAAAATTTTCAGACTCCCAGTGTAGGCTTGAAGAGAGGGAAAATGGTAATAATGCAAATTAAACTTGGAAGTTTGTCCTGTATGATGCTGTTAGACTGCGCAGTGTAAAGACTGAGGACATTTTTTAGTATTTGAAAAGGTAATGGTTTCAACATAAGTCATTTTAGATTATGTTACTCTAAGGTTAACGATGTATCATCCAACATTTGTGTTAGACCTATCCTCATTCATACATGAGTAGAATTTACAGTAGAGCACTGTAGGTTTTATTTGTGGAAGTGCTACACACCATTTATGTCAGTAAAATCGAAGTTATGTATCATGTGTGTATGTGCATATTCACGTGTCTGCATGCCAACCCGTCTACTAACCCTAAACCAGTTAAACATTTAGTACACTGCTGGGAATATTACTAATGACTTGAACTTTTAAAGTTAAAAATATCTACAATTTTAGGGTAACAGTTCTGACTGAATAAACTCGTCATAAGCAAATGTTACACTGTGCCGTTTCACAGTATCTTTGCTTTTGCGTGGTAGGCTAGGAGCTGCCATTGGATACTGATTATCTCAGGCAGACTACATGCATGACTGTGGTTAGACAGCAGTTAGATGAGTACAGCACGCTTGCTGAACATAGGGAGGTTTTACGTGGAGAATCACAAGGAGAATGTTCACAGTCCTGTGAAACAGTCATGAAAGAGTACTCCCTCACTTCTCTTGTTTTCACATTGTAAGGGTGTAGGTAGCACGCCACTCCGTCTTGTTACACTGATACTGCAGAAAGTGGGGGAGAGAATCGTCTGTTGCTTAACCCCTTGAGAATGGTCAAGAATTGTGTTTAATATGTGGGTTTAATATCCACATGCTTTAAGGATTTTTAATATGATATTCCATAGCGTGGTACAGAACAGCAAGAAATGTTCTAGTATTTCAGCCCTAATGCTTTTTAATACATACTTTTATTTTGAAAGTATTATTTAAGGATCCTTTTAAAATTACTCAGTATTACACTGTCTTCTCTAATTTATAGAGACCTCTTTATATCCTCTGCAGTGCTGAATAATTGTGTATATGATGTTTTAATGACTTTATTTCTATGATGAATGTTTTATTGGCCAAAACTAATAAATTGTAATAAATTTGTCTTGACTTTTTCCCCTTTAGGTTGATGAGTGGTGTTAAGAATAATGTTGGAAGAGGGATCAATGTTGCCTTGGCAAATGGTAAGAATCGTTACTCTTGGGTAGGCAGAGGGAGGAACACAGAGTAAGAAGTTGCTGTCATTTTTCAGTGTTCACATTCTTCTCAGAAGTTTGTTCTTGTAGTAGGTTCATTGGATCCTGAACAGCTTGAAAACCAAATCTAAAATCTCACTCATGAAGTGAGAGCTGGCCACATACTGATACCCTTAAGTATCCTATAAAAATGGGTAGCATGCTTAGAAACCACCAACCAACTTACCCCATTCACTTTGTAGGCAAATAGTTTTTATTGCTTTCCTAAGAGAGAAATTTTTGCCTTTCTGATTCATTTTTAAGCAAAGCATTCAATATCTATTTAACCCATTTTCAAAGAGAAAGGTAAATTTTTTTAAAACCTTTACTGCCAAAAATAGTGTCTGATTCACTGTGCTGCAGTCTGTTGACTCTTACATTTTAAGTTTGTACATTGTGTGATATGCAGATTTTTAGTTCAGTACAATTGTTTAAAAAAAACAAAGTGGTCTCTAATTCAAGTAGACATTTGCTATAAAAAGCTTTGCTAGTTCTGGGTATTCGTAAGGGCATGTGTAACACATAAGGATGAACTATACCTAACTTCGGACTGAGATGATCTTCCCTCAGTAACAAACTTCTTTCTGGCACTCTTTGGTGTAAAAGGTTAATGAGAAAGCCTTATCCAGAAATTTCTCTTCAAAAATATGTTTCAAATGCATGTAGCTCTGATTTTAAATTCTCAAAATAATTCCTCTCTACTAATGAATGCATACCAATCATTGAATAAAACCATTTATCTTCTACAGTGTATGGTGTATTTGATTTGCATAATTTGATCTGAATTCAATCTCTTTCAGGCAAAACAGGAGAAGTTTTAGACACTAAATATTTTGACATGTGGGGAGGAGGTACGTGTAAATAATTTCTGACTCTTGTTGGCACTGACTTAATCATGTCAATGTGGTATAATGAGAGTAGTGGTATCATTTATGTATTCATTTTATTTCTTTGCACTACATGTCCAACTATATTTAAATGATCAGCCATACTGTATACAGTTTGTTAATAAAATTGTTTGTGGTATGTCATTTAGTATATAATATAGAAATAGAGATTTTAAGGCATCTGAGTCCTCCATTCTATAGGGTAACTATTTCAGAGCTCCTTTAGGTTTCTGTCTGAGTCTAAAAAGAATAATTTGAAGACTGGGATAACTAATTTAAACACTGCCTGAATCGATTTGTGCTTATATATGATTTTGCAGTTTCAAGACTAAATCTTACATACGTGCCTTGGACATACAAGATAAAATGTCAGTTTTAGAAAGCAGCAATCCTATTATTTTATTCTAGTTCTCTTTTCTGACTACAGTATAGCAAACTATTAAAGCACAATAGAATTTTCTGATTCCATTGATCTAGAGCCATCCACAAATATTTTTCCCTTCTGTATTTGGAACGCCTTTAACGAGTGAGAAGGGACACCATACAGGGGCGAGGGACAGTCACCCTAAGGAAGAATGATACCCTCCGTAAGGTCCTTCAGTTTTGAAGGAAGGCCAACATTGGTTTATCTTTTGGTTCTCTAAATCATTGTGCATCTCCCCATCCCTATACTCCAACAACTATTAGTCTTGAACCTTATGTTTAGAGTTTTCAGGCAGTTCAGCTTATCTAGCATTTCTTCAGCTTATACTACAAGGTTGTGTATTAAGATTTGGAGAACATTTCATAGCTGTCAAAGCTGTATAAAATGTTACCATCAGTTTTAGATTCTAAAGGTGGTATTGATCCTACTACAAAATGCTCTTACAAACCCCCAACTGAAATTCATCCTGTGAGCAGAGCTCTGGTGGTCCCCACTCTGCTCGTCTCAGGCAGATGAGTTACTTCTACACACAGTCCCACTTCGTAAGTATTTGTAGTTCACTGCCATCTTGGTGTTTAAATGAAAACAGTTTGCTGGCTGCTTTGCTACATTTTTTTTTTTCTGAATTGACAGTGCTATAATCAGCTAGAGAAAATCTTTGTAATTTTTACTTTAAAAAAATTAGTAAATTTGAAGTAACCCCATTTTGAAGTACTGTTAGACTTGGGTGTATCGGGCAACCTGACATTTTGAGTTTCAGATCTAAAGTGATTTGTAGTACCTGACCTCGCTGTCATCATCAGTCTGTCGTCACTCAAGTGGTTTATTTTCAAGTCCTCAGGGACCTAGTACACAAGATAACTAATGTGCCTGATGAGTTTCCCTTTACTGGTAGCCTGCATTTCCCCTCCAATTAGATACACCTGAACACACCTCCAATTAGGTACTCCTCCAGTTAGATTGCATCTTGGTGCAAATATATATATGCCTGGAAGATTATTTTAAGCTGCTTTGGATTTGCATTAGCCCCAGGGATATCAGTGGGAAGACAGAATCCATCAAGACTGGGAAGATGACAATATGTAATGTAACAACTACTGTTAATTCCTATCATTCTGTTTCGAAACCCTGTATCATTTCTGTTCTTTTTGCTTTGTTTTGTTTTGGTCTGTTGTTATTTTGTTGCTTTTTTAAAAAATTTTCCTTAAAAAAAAACTGGAAAACTGTAAGCTGATGGTGGTCCTATTAAAGAGCAAACCTGACAGTTTTTAAATTCTGTAAGGTTTGTCTCTTTTTTGGATGACTTTTCACTAGAAATTATGCTTTCCATATTTCATATTTTGTAATACTATTTTCAGAAATGATTATGGTGGCTGATCATTTAAAACACACCAACCCTTTCTTTTTCAGATGTGGCACCATTTATTGAGTTTCTGAAGGGAATACAGGATGGAACAATCGTCTTAATGGGGACCTATGATGATGGAGCAACCAAGTATGTGAACATCAAAGTTTGCTCCGATTCTGTAGCTATAATTTATAATCATAGAAGCAACACATTCTCATTGAAAAAATTTGTTAAACAAAACAAGCTAATGCAACTAACAGATAAACAGCATGTTTTTTGCAAATAATTCAACTTATGTAATACTTTTTTTTTTTTTTAAGTGTAATATTTCTTAAGCTTTTGAGAATTGAACCCAGTGAATGCCAAGCTACATTCCCAAGCCTTTTCATTTTTTTATTTTGAAACACCATCTTACTGAGTTGCCTGGGCTGGCCTCCAGCATTGCAGTCCTCCTTCACCTGTCTTACAGCTAGAAGTATAGCTGTGGGCCCCAGGCCAAGCTGTTTTAAGCGTTCTTAAAGTCTGTGTCCTTCCTATGTTTCTCTGTGAACATTTGCTATGCATGTATTGTTGTAAAATTAGAATCGTATTGTCCATAAATTCCTTCATACTTCATTTTATATTGTGTTGAACAACCTTAAATGGCTTTTCCTGGCATTAACCTTCTTCAGTACCAGTTTTTAAGGCTTGCCTACAGTTTGTTACCTTGGCTAACCTGTATTTAAAACTTCCCCAGCACCAGATTTTTCATCTTATAAATGACACTGTGATAAACATCCTTGACGTGATTCTTATTTCCTTTTGCACTTTTGTTCATAGCCTTACAGTGTTTTTCTAGAAGTAGAATTAATGGTCAAAGGTACAGTAGTGATACTATTGGTTGCAAAGTTTAGTAGATGGTAGCAATGCTATTTTTTCTTGAAATTGTATATGTTGTAAACATTTGAGAAGCACAGAAGAGCACAGAAAAGAAAACAAGTTATAGTTCATCTCATCGTACAGGGATGACCACTGATAATACTTCAGTTTCCATTCCAGGCAGCTTAATGTGCATATTTTCTTCATGCTAAATATCTAGAATGGTAGTAATTTCTAGAATGGTAGCATACTTTCCACGTACGCGGTGACTGTTTTCCCATATTGAATATTCTTCGTAACAGAGTTGTTATGTCTGCCTAGCCTAGTTTTTAACATCATGATTTATAATCAGTTTGATTATGATGCCTATTGTTCGAATGTAGACAGTTTCCAATGTTTTTATACTTTGCAAAATGAGTTATCTTAAAATTTTTAAATCATCTATGTCTGTGCTCTTGAGATAAATGTTTTGAAGTGAGATTGATGAGTTAAAGAATATGCATACTTTAAAAACAGTATTTTAAAAAATTGTGCAAATTGTGTTATTTTTCTCAGAAGTTTTTGGACAGCTATTTTTTTTTAAAGTTCCAGTTTGTAAGTTTGGGTTCTTTTTGTTTTGGTTTGGGTTTTTTGGCTTGTTTTTTTGCTGTGCTGGGGATTTAACCTGGGGGCTCATGCATGACAGGCAAGTGCTCTACCACTGAACTACATACCTAGCAGCAAACCTTGGTCCCAACCCCTTTAAAAAATTCTTATTTTGATACAGGGTCTCACTGAGTTTGCCAGACTGGCCTCAAACTGAGATCCTTTGGCCTTAACCTCTGGAGTAGTTGAGTTTTCAGACATACACTACTATATCCAGTGCTGAGTTTTGAAAAAGTATATTGCCTTTCCCAAAAACATGACTTGTTTGTTTGAGAGGTGTGGTGTTTTTGTGCTCTTTAATAAATTGTCTTCTGACCATTCAGATTGACTTATACTGATTTGTAAGAGCATGTAGATATTATAACATTAACCATTTCTCATTTTAAAAATGTATTTTTGATACATCATTTGCTTTTAATTTTGTTAATTTGTGGTGCTTCCTGGCTTTTAGAAGATTGGACATTGTATAGTCAAGTTGGTGGGGGTTTTTTGTTTGTTTTTTAGTTCTACTTTTAAACTAGAAGTATTTTTCATCTCCAAATTAGATTTTTAGTAGATTTTTATTACAGTGATTTCACAGTCATCCTATAATACGTTCGTAATTTCCCGGAGACTTGCATGCTTACATAATACCAGGTGCTTATGTTGACTTGTATTTTGGGAATTTCTATTCTATTAACCTATTTACTTCTGCTACCAAAGACAATATTTAAATTACTTTATAATTATCTTAGAAAGTTAAATGTACTTCATACCTATCCAGTGAGGATAGCTCCTTTTGTTACTCATCTTTTTAATTTTTCTAGTTTTTCCTTATTTTTTTGAAGAATAAAAAGTCTTAGATTTTAATTGAAAGGCTTCGTTATGAGACCCACACAGGATTATGGCATATCTATTTATTGGTTTTTATAAAGATATTTAGTGTAAAGTTACTTTTTAGAGGTGTGTACCAAGATAATAGTGCCATTTTATGAATGACCCCAGCCTGAAGTAATTTCATTGGCATTGTGCATCTTATCTGGTTCTGTAAGGATATATTAAATCTGTAAGTGGAATATTGATATAGTAATGGCAATTCAGTCATCTCCATGTTGCTAAATAGAACCAAACAATGTAATTAAGCATTTTTATCAAAAAATAAGCAACTTACTATTTGCTTCAGCAGAGAACGTACAATATTATATGTATTGTTTGAGGTTTTAACATTTAAAAAGCTCCCATTTTCTGACTAGACATACATTACCTTTCTTCTTCACCATATTATGCCTGATAGGACTCAAGAAGTGTTCTCCTTAATCTGTTGATATGTTAGTAAATTGTAGCCTAAGTGAAGGGTGTTAGTGTTGATCCCTTGGATTAAGCCAGGACCTTAAAAGCCATCTGAGCCATGATCCCAGCCTGGGCGAGTTTCTGTTGGACTGTGTACATGAGTGTGTATGTCACCCCTCACTTGCTGAAGGTGCTATGCTCCTGTCTGAAGCAAACTCATAAAGAAATGTCATACTCTCGGGGGGCTCCCTCTCACTTCTGCCTAACAGTGGTTAGCTTGGGTGTACAGAGCAACAAAGTAGTAAGTTCTTCTCCCAGTTATTTGCTACTTGAAGGATTTAAAACAAATTGGCATTTCCTTCTTAGTTTGCTCTTTTCCAGGCATAACATGCATGGCTCTTTCAACCTTTTATTGTGTTAATTTCTAGTTTGTTCTACTCTTCTGGCTGTATTTCTTGGACTTTCTTTAGTTGATTATTGTCTCTTTTAAATGAGTGTCCCAAATTAAACACAGTGTTCCAGATGTGGTCTGGCCAGTACAGGGTACAGTGGAGATGCTAGCTTGCCATGTTTCAGAGATTACATTTCTTTGAATATTCATGCAGACTAGTATCATATTAGTTTTCTTTATACAGTCATATCCCATTTTTGGCTCATGAGTTTTTGGTCAAGTGGAATTCTCAGATCTTTTCATTTGATCTCAGACTTTTAAAAATTATTTAGTTTTTATTTTTTTAACCGCTGCCAAGTCAGGTCTTTGTCCCCATTCAGAACATGATTTTGTTTAATTTAAATGAAGGACTTTATATTCATTTATTCTTGTTGAATTTAATTTGGCTGGTTTGGGCCTAGTTGGTCTTTATCCTGACATTTGTCCTACAAGGTTTCCGTGATCCAGGCTTTGTACTCTCTCCAAAGTTGTTCTTTAAATGGAAGTCCTTGATACCAGTGTTTACCAAGGGCTGTGTGCCACTCTGCTAGAGGCCTCTTCCTCTGAGGGATTCATCTGTTAATGAACTGCAGAAATTACTTCACACACAGCTGCCAGTGCACCCCAGTAAGCATAGTGTCCAGCGGCAGTTTTCTTGTTTCATTCATAGCAGCTGTTTTCCGAGACTGTCAGACGCTCCCTCGAGATTCATGGACCGTGCTGGTCACAATACCCCATCTACTGACATGTCCTAGAATAGCTGAGATGTCCTTGCTTGGTTTGCTTGCTCCTCTGTTTGCCACTACTTGTTTCTTGCCTTGTATTTTAATGCTCATATATCTCTTCGTTGTCCTCCATCCTAAAATTTTGGTAGGAATTAGAATTAGTTTAATTGAAGAAAAAGAATTAGTTTAATTGGACCATTGTTTCTAAAATTTTCCTTGCCTTCTTGAAGTAAATGTCTTAGCATCTTTATTTTCTGAAATACCTTTGATGCTAGCTTGGAGGTTATATTAACAGGTTCCTCTAGAACCTACATGTGTGGTGTTTGTGGGCCTGGATGCTTAGATTCCCGTTAGAGCACTTACATGATGTTCTTGAGCTACTGGTCCATTTTTATGTTGCTCAAAGGATGCTTGCCTCTGTGGACAGTTACGCTTTGATCTGACAATAGTATATATCATTTCCTTGTGAACGTGTATCCCTTCATTACTCACACGTAGTAGCAAAAGTTCTTTGAATAGTTCTGTGCATCTCGTCATTTTGAGCATTACAGGTCTTTCTCATAGGTGTGTTAAAAACTTCGTTACTAGTAATGTGGTTTGTCTTTTACCTCTAAAAACTTCCTTTTTTTTAAAACTTTGAGCCTATCCTTTTGTAGTAGCACTAATTTAGAAACTATCTTTTTGGGGACTATTACAGCAATTATCTAGTGAAAATTATTGATACTCTTAGTTTTTGAAGTCATATTCTTCATAGGAATGTCCACTTTCTGTAATAAGTGGTTTTTCAAGTCTGAGCTTGAAAGCTGCATATGCTTAGTATTTCTTATTCTGCAAACTACTGAGGTAACATGGTGATTTTCTTCCAAAGTTTCTGATACTTCTGCTTCTCAGCTTGTTCTTTCCCTTTGGTCAGAATTGAGCCCAGACATCCATTCTCCTTATTGCGCTCTCTACTTGGAGAAAGGAGGCGTAGGTGTGGTTTGATGATATAACTTGGGACTCACAAGAACAGAGACTCAAATGGTACCCAGAAACTCCCATCTACATTCCCCATGTCCTGTTTCCACTCCAGATTTACCTATGTAGCTAGGATACTCTCAAGGACATCATAACCCTTGCCTTTGACTTGTCCTGGCTTCTCAGAGCTTGATTGTGTATTCATTTTAAAGAAAATTCTTCACTAAAATAACTCAGGCAACATAATTTTTTAACCCCCTCAGTTAAGACCATCATCATGGAGTATGTAAAACATGTAAGAAATCCATGATACTTCCATACAGAATGAAAGCATATATAGCCAAACTTTATGCAATATATAAATAATATTAGTTATTCTAAAAAAATGTATTTGACACCTACTGTATATTTTATATTGCTTAATATATTCACTGAGTTACACAAACTATTTTTGAATTATGTAATTGTCTCAAATAGAAGCAGTCAAAAAGGAGTAGTAAAACTAAGGAAGATCAGAAGACTTTAGAAATCACTGGGAAAGACCTTGTTGTAAAACTATAGTTAGACATACATAGGGATATTGGACAGCATTGGATGTTCCTCTGGGACTCATAGCTGTGATTTGTTATAGCAAAAGGAAAGAAAGCAAAATCAGAAAAGGGGGGATTCTAGAGTAGTGGTGAACCTATGGCACGTGTGCTGCAGTGGGGTGTTCGTTACTATTGAACACTTTCAAAGGTTCACCATTGCAGGTCTAGAAGGAAACAGTTCCAAGTCTTCAAGAGTCACACAGGACATTCTTAAGTTTTTCAGCAACAGATTTTGGCAGCGCATGAAATGTTGTCTACTAGACGAGCTTATTAGACACTCAGTGCGTGAGGTTGTTATCGGGAGTTGGTCATATAGGCGCCCTGTAAGCCCTCACAAAATTGCAGCTACCCAGACGGAAGGCAGATTTGTGCTCAGCAGTATCATTTGTGCACACAGCTAAGTGCCGGGAACCATCCTCAGTTCTAGAAAGAGTGGTGGCCCCTACCCCTTCTAATTGTGGGATGCCAGCAAGGCCAGTTGTGCCAGCTGGTCTTCCAAGGATAGACAGCGCAGGCCTGCCGTGTTAACACTTTCCTGTGCAGGACTTCAGGATGTTCTCATGGAAAGCAAGGAAAGACATGAATGGAATCAAAATATAAAGCTAAATCTCCAGGTTGCCTCTAAATCTCAGGTGAAATTGGCTTGGTTTATTCATACAGACCATAGTGATCACTTCTGAAATTGAGAAATCCAGAAGTAAACATGGCAAACTGCCCTTCCTTGTGTTTTTAGTTGATGCAAGCTCTCAGAGAAAAATATTTTCCTTAACTGCAGGGGCCAGACCTGTGTTTGGATAAACATCTGCTCTGGGGTCAGATTTGGGTAAAAAGTAGTCCTTTTGTTGTGGACTCACCAGTCATTATTTTAACTATTTCTGGGCAGCCATGAAGGTCTGTGAGATGGCAGTTTGCAGTCTTCCTGAGATGTGCATATGAGTGGATCCCCAGCACTTTCTGTAAGAGGCAACCACTTAGGTACCCAATAAACCTCCCGTCCTCCCTCTGCATTTTAATACTGTTTATTCTTGTTAAAGCAACAAAACTCATGTATTAGTGTTGATGCAGGTGAGAGTTCTCAGAAAGCAGCAACATAATAGAATATTTTAGATAAACTATATGGAAAGAATTCAACGGTCTTCCAGATCCACAGTGTCCCAGTATTATTTGGAAACAAGAAAATAGGGTTCAGGCCATACTGTACTTTCAGAGAGTTTCTCTCCAGAACAAAGTTTGCCTGTCAGTGGAGCAGACAAATAGAAAGTAATTCTTGTAGTGATGGTTTCAGGAAATAGACCTGTGGAGGAGCTTTAGAGAGAAAATGAGAAGCATGTGTACACCATTTCATATGAAGATCTCAGATTCCACAGAGGCTAAGATGGTAAGTTCATTTTGCACAAGAGACATTTCACTTTGTTTTCATTCACTGGGTTATAATACATCACCTCATGCAGAGGTGAACCTGAAAGGCTAAAAATATTCCAGGACTATTCTTTTTTTCACTGACTCCAGTGTACTTTCTCCAGGTAGACAGCAGTTCCTAAACTGTGGTCAGAGCCAGTCCATTGCCCCATGGGTATGGTGGGCATAAATTGTGAAATTTGACTATTTGGTTCTTTCATGTGTTATAAAGCTTAGGAAACATAGAGTATCCCATATACCTTTGTGTTAGTTGCACATTGTACCTAATGTTTTTCATTAAGATCCTGTAGTTAGCAGATAAGAGCATGAGTACCTGAAAGAACTCTGAGACATGAATAGGTACCATCTTCACTTCCTGCTGTTGCCAAGTACAAATGCAGGTGTTAGCAGAACTGCCCACCTGTTGTTCTTTGGGTGATGTTCTCTAGACCTTTATGTCCGTGAACCTGTACGGGTTACTCTTAGCTGCTTCTTGCCTTTTTCCCCCTGCACAGCTAACATTTATCTACTGAGTTTCTTCCCTTCTTGAGAGAGAGGGAGGGAGAGGGAATTACTCAACATTAGAATGTATTAATTCAAGTTTGAAATTTCTCTTAGTTCATTGAAAAGAAAGGTTTGTGCTGATATTGTTTGGATACTTAAATGCTGATATCTTGTACTCTGAGTAATTTAAAGATAACACACAATGTATTAACTATTGTTACACTCTGTCATCTTTTTTGAAATTTTGTTTTTTGTTTTCTTTAAAAGAAAAATATTGAAATTTTAAAAATTTAATGGTAGTTGTAAATTAATAATTTGCCACATGTCTTTTTTCCACTGCCCTCCCAAAATATTTAGCTGCTATGTGGTTAATATTTTCCATTTTTATTCAGTAACAAGTATAATTTATATCCCTCTTCTCAGAAATTGTTTTGTTTTAAATAAAATAGTAGTGTCAGAAGTACTCAGATTTCTGTATTTACCTTTATTCCATTGGCACATAATTTGCAAAGGATTTAGTGGAGATTCTAAGTGATAGTTAATTTTCTGAAGATACTTGTTGCTGAAGGCCTTGGATTAGCTTAGATAAGCATCTGCTGGCAGTTGTATCCCTTCCATACTTAATGAATATCATTAAAATTATTCAATGCAAGCAAATTATTTTGTGAAATACATTGAAAAGATACTTGTTAGGAGACTAAGCATAAAATTAATTGCTAATCTTCCATGCCTTTTTGTTACTAAAGAATTCAAATAAAAATGTTAATTCAATGAAAAATCTACCTATTTTTTAACATTCTCTTGTTCAAAGCGTGTTTGCTAAGTATCCTAGGTGATCCTGTGTTAAATAACTTGCAGTTCCTCATGCTGATTGATGCCTTCTTTTTTCTTTTTAAGATTGAATGATGAAGCACGGCGGCTCATCGCTGAATTGGGAAGCACATCTATTACGAATCTTGGTTTTAGAGACAACTGGGTCTTCTGTGGTGGGAAGGGCATTAAGACCAAAAGCCCCTTTGAACAGGTCAGTCAGACATCCATTACTAATGGGCAAACCTAAATCATGTGAGCCCTTCTGGTGTATATTCCTGTCTCAGTTATTTGAAAATTAGATGAAACAGATACTAAATAATATGTTGATACTTTTCTTAGGTTCTTGATAATCAGTTATTTGAAACAACCATGGTACTTTTTAAGTGTCAAAATTAAAAAAATAAAAACTCTGCATGGGTATTTTTTGACACTGCGTTGGAAAAGAATTACTTTTTAGCCCTTTAGGAAGCATTAGTTAGTAAGGATTTTAGATATGAGATGTGTAGCTTTAGATATGAGAGTCAGTTAACGTTGGAAATACTTTAGAATTTAATAGAATGTGAGCTGTTTTGTCTAACGAATGATCTTTTAAAAATATCTACAGTGTTTTGTTCTTTTGACTGTTTTTTGAAGGTCTGCCGTGTGTGTCAGGCCCCAAGGGTCACGCATTTATGTGTTGAGCAGTCCTTTATGTGACCTCATTGTTGATATGAGTGTTACTAAAATAAGAACACATAACATATATGAGTGCAAATCAGGTTACAAAGGTTCTCTAAACTGTGTGATGTCATTGTGTTCCAATAGCACATAAAGAACAATAAGGACACTAACAAATACGAAGGATGGCCCGAGGTTGTAGAGATGGAAGGGTGCATCCCCCAGAAGCAAGACTGATGGCCGCGCACTTTCACTGTCAGTGGGAGAGCTATCAAGAGGAAGCCACATGTAAATATTTTAATAGCATGCAGCCATCTTGGTGTGTGCATGAACATTCTCTTTTGATATCAGGATTATTTATTGCTAACGTAAATAGCTATGGTTGTAAATAGTCCTCACAATGAGCAAATCACAACCATTTTTAAGTATATTTGCCTAAGAGTACAATGTTTAGACTGCTACGGTAATAACATACTTTAATTCTAAAAGTATAATCAGTGGCTAACTGAAGAGACTGTGAAAATGTTGATATATATACTGATCGTTGTGCAAATCTATCGTGAGGAGAGAAGATTTTGTTTATATAGAGTGACATATATCTGGCCTTGTGATTATAGTATCTTTTAAATTAAAGAAAGATTTGACTAGTTGTATGTGTAATATTACCTTACAGTCTGATTCCTTATGTACCTCTTTTCTTAGTCTTTATTTTTCCTTCCCAAAAAAAGCAAGAAATAAAATATTTGATATGAAAAATTTCAGATTTGTGAAAAGCACAACAAATTCTTCTTTTAATGCACACAGTAAAAAGTCAATATGTAATTGAAGATGACATTCAGGACCATAGTCTGGATTTTGTGTTAGCAGTGTGAATAACTTGACATTGTATAAGCAGTTTAGAGTGAGGCTGGAGGTAGGAACTTCACATAGCTGAGGAATCATGCCAGGCCCCTCCTCAACCTAATTAGCTCATGCAGGCCAGCTAAGGCAGTGTACTTAAAGCAATGCAGGCATATATTTGCCTTACTTATTATCAGCATTGACCAGTTGACCAAGTGATTTGAGAAAGGGCACACCGTAGTATAATTGTTACGATTTAGAAACCAAGAAATCCTGTGTTTACTTCATGTAACTTCATAATGATAATCGTTGCCCAGAGCTACAGCGGCACACTCTACTTAGTAAAAGTCCTAGTTACTGAGTAGACTAATGATACTTTAAAAATAATTTTATTTGACCCAAAATGACTTCGTGCCCAATTCTACATGAAAATATAGGCAGTCTTTTCAAATGGTTACTAAATGATTCAGTTTTATTTTAATTGCTTTAGGGCATTAAATATCGGGTATGGAGTTCCTTACACTGGAGCACAAGCACATTTGATGATCAAACTGTCTTGCACAGTGTAAGGCAGCCCTGAAATTTGAATTTAAATTTTAGATGGCTTATATAAAAAACTCAAAGGAGTATTTGTTATTTCCTGTAAGTTGAAAGTTACTTGGATATTTCTTAAATATTAATAAATCTGGGGGTACTCTTTCTTTCCTCAAACTGAATGTAATTCATAAGTCAGTGCACCTTATATGTTTAAACAATTCTTTATAAACTTTAGATTTTTGGTGCTTATATACTAAATTACATCCAACATGTATATTTTGACATTTAAAATACTTCCCTCAATTCTGTAAATTAAAAGAATAGCTATTTCACAGTTCTGGGGATTGTAAAATAAACGTTGCTGTTTTTTTTTAATGATGAAAATAAATACTGGTTTTTTACATTGTCAATTTTTGTATTATCTGGCAGAGTAATAATAATATGAAACTTGACATTAAAGGATTCTCCAAACATTTATTGTACTGCTTAACATGCAAAAAAATTAAGTCATTGCTATGGTTAAACAGTAATATCTTCTGGATATATCTTAACATGTATAAAAGTTAAGAATGTAAATGGCAGGACATACCTTTGATTTTTGAGATTGTAAAAAGGTGTTATACAGGTGTATAAAATGTCAAAAGGGATAAAGATTGGTTATGTATCTGCTTTGGTGCAGTTTGTTTTTGTCTGAATTCTGTGTTGTATCGATTGTGCCAACTTAACTTTGGAAGCAATAATTTTACATTTTATTTTCAGATCTCTTTTTAAAGTCTGCATTGTAAATGAAACAGTGCTCATTTAATGTTAACATTTCTTCTTTATTAAAAATTAAAAATTTAACATCAATATTTCAGTAGTTTAAATGGTGTTTAAGGGCTTGCACATATTTCATACATTTTTGAAATCACAAATGCATTCCTAGAACCAAGTATATTACTACATGAATGTTAAGTGGAGCAAAAGAAGTACAAAGTAAGTGATATTTAGGAAATTAAAAAACAATTAAGCTCATCTTCATATTCCTGACTTGTAACTTAAAGTGAAATTAACCTTGCTTTTTCTGTATGCTTTACAATGAATCAGTTAATATTTTATAACTTTTTGATAAACGAATGCTTACATCATTTATCCTGTATTTTACTTTGTACTTTAAAAGTTTATACAAATTATAAATAATTTGTCCCACCAATTACATAGTTTCATTCTTTGGGTCCTCCCTGTGCCCCTTGTAAATGAAAGAATGAGCAGTGTGCTGTTTAGTGAAGCTGTTAAAAGTGAAAATGATTTTCAAATACTTTTTTAAATAAGAAAGGGAAAATTACTTGTTGATCAGGTGGATTTGCCATTTAACCTCTTCAGATGTTTTACCCTTCTGGACATCAATGCATACATGTACCAGATGTGATTAAAAAAAATACAACAAATGTTTTACACTGAAAATATTACAGTAAAGATACCCTGACATTGCGTTGAATACACCTTCTCCCATTGTTCTCACCACCCCCGAAGCAGCACTGGAAGTTCTCTTTCATGTGCTTGGGTCCACGGCCTCTTGTGTCCTCAGTTGATCCAGAATGTTCCCTTCACACACCAGAGGCACCTGCCTTTGTGTGGGATGGCTGTTGGCAGCTACATTTGCTGTATTTTTTACCACGCTTCGTAAGATCATGAAAGAGGACTTGCAGAGCTGCGTCAGAAAGCAAGAATGACGGGTGAGTGTGTTTGGAGTGAGGGAGAGTACTGTGAGGGAAACGCATTTCACCTTTTCTCAAGTATTTCTAGGGTGGATTCTTTTCCTGATTGTTACAGAGGTAACTAACTGTATTCTTGGTTTCTGCTTGCCACCTTCTAATACCTGTTTAATTTCCATGTTCCTCAGCTTAGGCCTTGCCCCTGTCATGGCTTGCTTTTTGTTGAGGTCCCTTCCTTGAGGCAGTACTCACATCGATGGCCAGGTGGAATAAAACCCAGGCAAGCCTGGCAAGAGGGCAGCAGGCAGTCGTTACAAGGAGTGTGAGGGGATGAAGGCTCTGCTCCAGCCCAGTGAGGGGCACGGTAGGACTTCAGGTCATGTATATTTGACCACTACTGTGAATGGTTGGAAGGAACTCAGTATGCTTCTGACAGGAAAGCACTGAGAAAGTTTAATTGTAAAAGGAACAGGTCTAGTCTGTGGCGCCAACCAAAGTGCCCTGCAAAAACTCATTAAATGCAGCTACCAGTACTGCTGTTACTATTACTCGTGCCTGTTGCAGGCTGGTAACATTTTAGATCAAGAAGAGGTGAGTCAGCCTCTGGCTTTCCAGCCCCTGGTACCTAGCTAGAAGGGAGCCATTCAGTGACCTGAGCAGTGAGGTCATAGGTGAGGATGCAGCTGTTCACCAAAGGCTGACCTTGGTCTCCAGCCCTCTTGTATAGTACCTGTCCTCTCAGGCTTTGCCCCAATACCATGCTTTACCTCGTGCACAGAATTTAAGCTATCAGACATCTCCACGGAGGTAGTGTTTCAAGTGTTCCGCTGGCCGGCCTGGCCTTTAAAAGGTGAGTATTTGACTTCAGCCGAGGGGTCAAGGAGTCTGCAGAACTCCTGCCTGTGGCAGTAGCCAGTCGTGCCCCACAGGTGCACAAACCTTGGTCCCTGCTCCTCATAACCGAAGCATCCTTCCCATCTCCTGCTGCAGGTCAGGTTGCAGTAGTAGAGTTGGGGAGAGGCTGGGAACCATTGTACCCCCTTTGCACATCATCATTTGGCTCTTGTGCAGAGGGCCTGTAAGGTTCTTGTCTAGGACAAAGGAATCTTCACTGTGAATTTTGAAAGTTACTTTTTTGCTTCCTGGGATTTGAAGTTTGTGCATGTGACTTTGAATCCCATTTTCCGTGATGTATCCTGTGCAGTGCTGCTAACCTGTGATGCTGCTGCCACTGTTGGGTGTGGTGTGGTGGGATGCACACACACATCCCGGGACCATTGAGCAGTCTGGGACCAGCTGTCAATCTCAGCTTTCTCTACCACCGTTGGAATAAAGTGGCCAATTTTTAAGTCTACCTGTTCAACAAAAATGCTGTTTCCTGTATGTACATTGCTCTGAGCAGAGGAGAGTAAAGCTCACCCCTAGCACTTAAGTTTTAATAACTTGGAGCCCAGTGAAGATGCGAGAAATTCACTGTAAGACTTGATAGGAATTGTGCATACTTACGGCAGCTGCTGTGCTGAGATAGTTCTATTCAATCAATGAATTTTAATGTGTAGGTGCTCAAGAAATAAGTTGGGCATTTGGGGAAGGGAAAAGTTAAAGCTGGCAAAAGAATTTCTCAAATAATGAAATTTATCTTTCAGTTTGTGAAATTATCCTGTATCCATTAAATACGAGAGACGTTAGGGGAGATGTCTCTCAATGACTTCTTCAGTTTTACGATTTTCTTATTTTAAAATTTTTGTTGCTTATTAGTACATATTTGCAGTACATAATTTATTACATTTTGTGGAAGACCACCATGTCGCCCTCCACCAGGCCCAAATGTGATTGTGCTCACTAGCAGGCAGCCCAGGCCATGTAGAGGTGACTTCTCTAAATTGGCTCTCAGTTTGATTAGTGAGTCTGGCTGAGGCTGTGTATATGTCTTCATGATAGCAAGCGGGTGGCGTCAGGCTAGCATTGCACTTCTCCAACGGCCACAGCTGAGCTCAGAGAGGCAGGCTGAGAGACTGTGGGGCTAAGACACATGATAACATCTCCACTGAGGCCTGTGCGACTCTAGAGATAATTCCTTCCCAGAATTGTCTACAGAGCAGGTTACTCGTTAACCACAACCTGAATCTAGCTGTTCTGTTCCTTTCCCAGAATGCTTTGTACCCTTTATAAGCTTTGCCTGCCTGGCCACTTATCTAGCACATCCAGCCTTAATCCCCTCACCATTTTCCTCAGCACAAATGTGATCAGTAAATAACAACGTTCTGGCAACCTCACACCCTTTTTTGCCCGTGAACAACTGGTCATCCCAGTTCCCCATTGTGTCACCATTTTGTCTCGTTCCTTTTTGCCATAAGCTGTGACACCTTGTAATACATTGGAAACTCACTGCATCGGTTCATACGTTCCATGTGGGAGTTGGACTACGTACAGAGCATCTCGATTCCTTTTTCTTCCTCTTCCCCTTTCCTCGCCCCTTCTTCCACCTCTTGGTCTCCTTCGCATTTGCAGATCTATCTCCTTTTTCCCGTTATCCAACTTTTATTTTGCTGTTTATTTATATATGAGAATTCTCATGTAAGAGAAACCACATGATATTTAAGCTTGTGTGTCTGATTTATTTCACGCGGCCTCAAGGTGCATTTGTTTTTCCTACAGATGACTCAAGTTTATCTTGCTTTATGCAGAGTCATACTCCATTGTGTATAAATACATTTTCTCTACCATGCATCTGTTTTTGGACATACAGGCCACTTCCAAGATTCAGCTATTATGAATGTGCTGCTATAAACATGGGTGTATGCCTGTATCACTGTAATATAATGTCTTTAACTCTTTCTGGAAGGAGAATAGTTGCATAAGTGGAATTACCATATGCTATTTCTTCCTCTCCTAGAACTTGAGAGACCAAAAATTGTTAGGGAGTTTGAAATAAAGAACTGACAGTGAATACACATAATGAAAAGTGCAGATTGTGTACCAGAAATAAATAGGTAATCGTTGACTTACATCTTGTTTGTTGACACCTTTACCTGGCTTGGAAAGAGATTGAAGTGAGGTGTATAGGATGATCAGTTTTCATCAACAAGTAATTAGGCCAACAAGTGATACCCTTTCTTTTTCTTGGCTAAACAGGGAGGGGTTGATAGAGGTTGTGACCATAGGTGTAGGTTACTAATAATTTGTAGAACGGAAAGCTGCTCGCCTCTGTGAAGGGAGGCACTTAGGGCTCAGAATGGCCATTTGACAAGGACCAGCCAGTCCTGCATCCCCATGCTTTCTGCCCTTCAGTTCTTATGTACAAGTCAGATGCTTTCACTTACTTTGCAAATTAAAAGGTTACATATGACATTTTAGTTGTGTTGGTTTTGTCCACTTGTGTTACTGCTTTGCACAACTATGTGGGGGAAAGGTTGCTTTTTCTAGCGTGATTTTATTTCAAAAGTTTAATCTGGTGCAAACCAGCTCTAGTGATTTTTCTTTAAATGTGAATATAAACCATTACAAATGGTAAGTTAAGTAACATTTGGCTGTAAGCACAATCAAAAGGATGTAAGCATTTATTTTATATCTAACTAAATTAGTTTGATCTTAACCCGGATGATTTCCTTTTGGAACGATTTTTAGACGCTTGTATAACTCCACATTGGCCCCATTGGCATCTAAATTAGAAGTCAATTTAAATAACTTCAGAGCTTAGAAATCAAGAAGCAGGATATTTTAATTATATATCATGACAAATCTCACTTTTCAGCTTTCCTATCACTTTACTCCCTGATCTTTGACCAAGTTTATATAACCAAACTATAAAGAAAATGTAATTTTCAGTATATCTACAAATCTTCCCAAATACTTTAAGTGGTATATTATGAATGTAGTTTGTTGACGACTTTGATACTGAGAGAGGCACAGGGACAATGTAGTGAGTGAGTGCACAGACCCTGAAGCCTGTCGATTCCATATGACATTTGTTGGTCTGTTTACTTGTGTCTCAGATTCCTAATCTTTAAATTGGCTGTCACAATCATGAGAATTATTGCTCTGGGAGATTCCCAAGAGGAGTAAATGCCATACATACACACACACGCACACAGTGGTATCTTGGTTTGTAAATTTAATTCTTTCCATGATTCTGGTTACAAACCAAGTTGGATGAGAACAGAATCAAATTCAATGGTTAGGTTAGGTTCAATGTTGACATTATGGGAAATTTTGAATCAGTTCTCATCCAATTCAGTTTACAACCAGAATCATGAAGGGAATTAAGTTTGTGAACAGAGGCATCACTACATATGTAACTTATTGAGACCAATGCATGATACACAGTGGGTGCTAAGTGTTTGTTAATATATTTCCTTTTGAAGGAAATGAGTTCCTCCCTGTTGTTCCACTTTGCTTTCGTGCTATACTACATACTACTCTCTGGGTTACGTTAAGGTGTCACACCTGTTCTATAGTAAGCTGAAATTTAAAAAAAAAAAAATTAAAAAAAAAAAAAAACGGTATGCCAGCTTTCCTCAGGGATGGCTTGTCCTGGGGAATATAATTCCTGATCTGAATTTTTTCCCCTCAAGTTACCTACATGGATCACAGTGTTCTAGCTACTACCAGGCCCAAAGTGTTCTTGCAACTAAGTTGGGTTAGTTTCTCACTCTTGATGATCTACAGTAGGTGATGCAAAAATAACTCACTAAGGGGCCTATCAGTACTAACAGTTCTTTAGAAATTAATGTATTGTTTAAAAATACTGTGGATATCATGTCATCCCAAAACTGCAAAATCACAAGCTCATGTATCTAAACATACTGGAAATTTTCCTGGCATAACTATCATAGTTCCTTAAAACACAAAACAACCATAAACCAAATTAGGAGCAGGAAAAATGCAGTTGTTCATATTGAAAACAGTGAATGTGTCATTAGGTGGTGTAAAGTACTGCTATAAGAGAAAGGCTTTGGTCAACTTCCTTATCCAGAAGTTAAAGATAATATAATTTAATGTAGTTTTCCTAATTTTACTTTTAACATGAGTGTCTTAGTTACTGTTCCTTTGCTGAGACAACATAACCAACACCCAAAGTTAGAAGGGGAAAGGTTTATTTAGATCACACTTTGTAGAGGTTTCAGTCCGTGATCAGCTGGCTCCAAAGCAGGGTGGCATGGCAGAGAGGAATTCCAGAGGAGAAACAGTTCATGGCAGGGAGAAGGTAGCAAAGCAACAAGGGACAACCACAGGTCTTTCTCTCCCTTATATGTTATCCAGGCTACTTAGGGCAGGTATCACTCATATCCTTAATCCTATTGCCCTTGATCCTAGCACTGCACCAAGAATCAAGTCACATACTCTAGATTCCGCCACCTCTGAAAAAGCCCCACCTATGACTGTATGAGGCTTAAGGTGGCATTTAAACACAAGTCATAGCATTGCCTCCCAGACCCCTCAAAAACTCACGCACATCCCCTTCTGCAAAAGGCATTTAGTCCATCTCCAAGAGTTGCCAAAATTTTAAGTTTTCAGCATTGCTGAGAAGTCCAGCTGGAAAGTCTCCTCTGAGATTTAAAGCAAATTCTTAGCTGCAAGCCCCTGTACAAATGAAAGTTAAACATTTCCAACGTTCAGTGGCACAAGATAGACATTTCTATTCCAAAAATTACAAATAGGGACAGCAAAGAATAGAAACAAAGCAAGACCAAAATCCAGCAGGGCAAACATTAAATCCCACAGTTCCACTCCTAGCATCCTGACAATCTGTGGCAAGTTGCGAACTCCAAAGTGCTTGGATGGCTCCACCCCTGTGGCACTAATGATGGTTGTAGCTCCTATGGCTTCTCTCTTGGGCCCACTCTGCTCCCTCCTTGCAATTTTCCTTGGAAAATCCACACTCCTGGCTTCTCCAAACTTCTGGGTTTCCATGGCACCTTTGACTTCATACAGCTTCACACACTACCCTCCCAGGGGTACAGTACCTGGCCTCCCAGGCCTTCTAAAATCTGGGTGGAAGCCTTCCTGACTGCACAACGCTTAAATTCTGTATGCACCTAAAACCAACACTGTGTGGATGACACCAAGGTCTGTGGCCCACTTGAACAGTAGCCAGGTTTCCTTCTCTCATGGCTGTAGGAGTCCAGCGTCTATGAACCAAATACCAAGGAAAAACTTCCCCAGGCTGCTGCCATTCTGGAACATGGTGCTCTGGGGCTTTGTTCTCAAAGCAAAGTCTTGCCCTTTTGCAATTTTGAGGCTGCAAAGGGTGGGGTCCTGCTGCTTCTTATGGTACCCTTGAGGTCATCTTTTCTGTTATCTTCTTCTGAAATTCTTGGCTTTTCTTGCTTGCCTTTTCACGAACGATTTCTCTTCTGTTCCGTCTTTGCAGGTCACAATTTTACTGGAGCTTCCTTTCTGGCCAAACTCAGCATTTTGAATCATTCTGCTGGGCTCTTTGCTCTTGGTTCTCAACATAAATCTGACTAAAAGCCTCCAACAGTAGCCATGCCACTGCCTCAACATTAGACTGCCTTGAAGTTTCTTCTGCCAGATTAATTAGTCCTCCCTCCTTACTCTTTGTCTCATTCAAAATCTTTGGACAGGAGCAAAATGCAGACAAACTTTCTGCCAAGGCATAGGATACATCGTCTGGAGTCCAGCAGCCAATACAGTCCTTCCCAGCAGAAACCTCCCGAGCCTGGTCTTTACTAGCAAAATTTCTCTCAGCCTTCTTTCTTCTGAGCTCTGACAGTTTTATGCATACCAGCTCTACTTTTTCGGCTGGCATCTCCAAACTTTTCCTAACTCTTCCCCTTTCCACAAGCCAACTTCAAAGGCTCCATGGTCAGGTACAGTCAAGCAATGACTCACTTCTCTGGTACCAATTTCTGTCTTAGTTACTTTTCTTATTGCTGGGATAAAATACCCAACACCCAAAGTTAAAGGGGGGAAAGGTTTATTTAGCTCACACTTTGTAGAGGGTTCAGTCTAATCAGCTGGCTCCAAAGCAGGGTGGCATGGCAAAGAGGCATTCCAGAGGAGAAACAGTTCATGGCAGGGAGAAGGTAGTAAAGCAACAAGAGAGAACCACAGGTCTTTCTCTCCCTTATATGTTATCCAGGCTACTTAGGGCAGGTATCACTCATATCCTTAATCCTATTGCCCTTGATCCTAGCATTGCACTGCATTGAATCAGTTCACTGAATTGAATCAATTCTAGAGTCACACACTCTAGATCAGCCATCTCTGAAAAAGCCCCACCTATGACCTCATGAGGCTTTGCGGGGGTCATCTAAATATAAGCCATAACAGTGAGTCATTGCATCTTATCATTGCCTCTAATAGGCATTTCCAAATAAAAAGTTGAAAAACAACACACTGGAGTCATTTCCCCTCCTTTTTTTAGTATGATAAAGCACATTTAAATAAATCAAGGCACTTCATACACACCTGATAATTCACACTGCTTTAGGCTTGCCTTGACTGGTTGTTACTTCTATTTTATGCCAGAAACTGACCCCTATAAATCACTAGAACTGGAACATGTAACATCTTGATGCCCAGCATTCAGTTACACTATACTGGTAACCTGGCAGTCTAGGTTTCCTTCACAGATTCTCCCCTTCCTTATTGTCAAGCTGTGTAGTTTTAGTTGATGTAAACCTAGTAGAGTTCCAGGGGCTAGAATTTCCAGAAGACAGATCAGTGTACTTGCTGCCCACCCTGAGTAAGTCATTTTGATTGGGTCAACAATGAGCACATTTAACCAGTCAGACCCAATGATACTCAGAGGACCTCTGCTGGGCTTTCTGGGAAAGAAAATGTTCCTTCTTTTCTAGATAGGCCACCAGAAATGAGCCTCTGTCTTTCATTGAATGAAACCTGTATTTCTTTAGAATGAGTGATAGAATGTGAAGTCTGGAATTGTGGCAGTCACGTTGTTAGGAAAAGCAGAGAACCTGGAGTCACTAGGGATGAGTGGGGGGTGGCAGGAGGGTGGTAGATGGGGTACAGCATGTTGTGGAGCCTAAGGCGAAGGCCAGGCTGATGCCAAAAGTCAGTCTAAAGTGGAGACACTTTGGGACTAAGGAACTAAGGAAAATTCAAAAATTTTCAGTTATGGAGTATATTTCTTTGAAATTTAAACAAATCTGGATTGGGTTTTCTGTTACTTGCAGGATAAAAACCCTAATTCTGGCAAATAGCATAGAGTAGACAGAAACTTTGGCCCAAGAATTGTGTCTTTAGGAGGGCCATGGTGTTACCCTGTGATGATGGGAGTGAAGGGACTGGGCCCATGCCAGGTCATTAGTAAGATAGGGAAGAAACTCAAGGTTGACTTCTATAGTGATGCCAAGAAGGAGAAAGAAAGGAACCAAAGACACAGCTGGACAGTTACGGTAGGAGGACCTCTTGATCAGCATATAAAAAGAGCACGAGTTAACATGGAAAAGAAATAGCTGCATAGTAATCAGATATTTATAAAATAGAGGCTGCCTGCTTCTCACAGTCAGTACAGATAATTATGAAGAGGTTTTTAGTCACTAATGGTCATTACAATTTTCCTCTTTTAAAAAGTGTGCTTATTTTCCATAAAGATACAATTATCACCTTTGCAAAAAGGGCAAGAGAATAAGTTTTTTCATGTTACTTTATTCAGCATATACTAAAGAGTGTAATAACACTTTAAATAAGTACTACTATATTTGTTCCCCAGCCTTTTCTAAGTCTCTCATTTAGTAAGTAGTAACTAACTTTAATTTTAAGGATCACAGTTAAATGTTCAGTCTTGATTTTAATATTAGAAATGAGACATTGTCAATTTTGGTTTCTTTTTTCATAAATTGGTAAATAAAACTAAAAGAAAATAGACTAAGACCTTTGGGGTGGGGAAATATTCATCTTATTAAGAAAAAGAATATCCTTTCTTTGTCCATGTTGAACATAAAAATTGATTTTTCTATATAATACTGAAATATTTAATAATCCATAAAACACAGGCATTTACATTAAAATACAACCTTAAATACAGCCCTGTAATTTTAACCAGGACTGTGCAAAATATAGTGAACATACATGCATGAATATTAAAGCAAGTAAGACCACTCCACATTCAAATGGAAATGCAGCATTACAGACAATATAATAAATATCCAGAATATCAAATCCACAGATTGATCACTAATCTGATTTAAATTCTTTTTCCAGTTAGGACTTTTGCTATATAATTTATTATAATAACCTTATGAGTTAAGAAAACTAATGTGAAAAAAGAATTCAATTAATCTGGCTACCGAAATAACACACTTCTCAGTATCTTACAACACATTTTAATCTATAACATATAAAACTGTCATTTTGGCAAGAAATACACATCCATATAGCAAACTGCTCAATTACCTACCTTTTTTTCATTGTTAAGGAAGTTGGAGTTAATCATGAAAAGAAAAAGAGGCTAATCTTATTGCCTTAGCTTTTGGGCTTTGGCAATAAATGTCCTAAATTATAATATATGACATATAACTTAAATACTGCACTTATAAAATATAAATATTTTTAGCAAAATATTATACAAAATACTGTTTTTACACATTTAAAGGATGTTTTCTTTACAATGTATGAGAGGCCTTTATATTTTTACCTCACGTTTCCCACGTTTTCAGGGTCTCCCTCCCCTCATACCTTAGGGCTGAATTTTTTAACAGTGAACACTGGTCTAAAATAAAAATATGTACCCAAAGTTGCTGTATACATTATGGAGGTTTTTCTAGGAAAGTCCTACTGGTTAGAAGGTACTTAAAATCCAATTCATTTTAGTTTCTACTTTTTGATTCTTTTTTGTCACCACACAGCTCTACTGCTACGTTTTAGGGATATTGTATCAATTAGAAAGGTTCTTTTCAATCGTTCTTTTGGTGTGCATGAAAGGGCAGGCACTCACCACTTCAATTAACTTTTCAACATCTGCCCATGCACAAACCCGTTGTGAAATTTTTTCAATTAAAATACTGAGAATAAATGAGATTCATGTTTATGTTCTTTGCTCCTGTAAGAGGCATCTAAAAATGAGTAATGTTCGCCCACCATTATTGATCTCCATAACTGAGGTCCATAGTTGAGGATCTTATCCTGAGTATGCACCAACTGTTCCTTAGCAAATGGATTTACCTTCCTTATATGTCAACCTGTATCCTCCAAAGCATCCAAAGATGAATAGAAACTTTTCAACTTTAAAATCCCAGTAAGTCTGCAGGATTGATGGTGATTAGATGTTACTCAGGCAAAGGAAATTCCAAATAGGCCAAAGATCTGGAAATTCCAATACAGAAGTCAGCTTCCCCAATCTTGGGAGTAAGAGGCATCCTTTGGTTTGTAATCCCACCATGTTGCTGAGGAGTATTGCTCCAGGCTGGATGGAGTGGTTACTTACAAGTGTGAACGTCTGTCATGCTTTCACACCTCCTGCAGCGGACATAGCAGCACCAGATAAACTTACACTCACACCTCTCCACATGCCTGACCACATGGGTGTTGTAGCCTCGGCCGCAGCAGAGGAGGTTGCAGCCGTCCGCACCTTCTGATGTACGGTTGCATTCCCTGCCTTGTGTCCCCGGGATTCCCAGTTTTTTATCCTCCACACAGTAGTTGGGAGACTTGTTAATATAGAGCAGGTCATCCTTGCGGATCGGTATTTTCCTCTGATCTTTTTCTTTCCTTCGCATCTTTCTCTTTATTTTGTCTGATATCTGGATGCTATTTTCATATTTATCTTTTAACAAATGGCCAATCTTTTCAAAAGAAGACATGGTTTTCCAGCATGTTTTCACAGCACAGGAGCCAGAAACTCCATGGCAGCGGCAGTCTACTGACATCAACTTGGCGACAGCCTGAAACCAACAGTGATTATGTTCAAATGCCATCCATTAGTGTCTCGCTCAACAACAGAAGCACAACCAGCCTAATCACGTGACTCTATCTGTGTCTATTGTACAAAAATGACGGTTTTACACATGAAGAATCTTTAATAAGACTGTGTAAGGTTCAAATGTTTTGTCCTTTAGTTCTGTCCAAATGTCTTGACGTTGAACAGCAAACCTTTCTGAACTACACTGAAAGCATTAGTAGACCAGGGTATCATTTTTACCAGAGAATATCTGTGATACCGGAGGGAAACTACTCATTTCCAATACCCTACTCTATTTGGGATGTAAGAGGATGCTCATGCCTGCCAGTGATTTCTGATACAATTCAACACCTTGCTACTCAAAGTATCATTCAAAAATCAACAGCTCCTGCATGACTTTTGAGAAATACACTCAAGCCCCACTTCAGACCTATAGAATCAGAAGCTGCATTTTAACAAGATTGCCCAGGTGATTCTTATCCATATTCAAATTTTAGAAGCTCTGATATAGCTGATATAACTCTTATGCTCTAGTACATAGAAACTTCCCTGAAACTTTACAAGCAACCAATGCTGAAACCCTTGAGATTTTGGCTTAACTGATTAAAGTGAACTGCTCAGATAATTTTAATGATGTCCAGTAATGACACTGAAATGATGCAATTAAGAGATCTTAGGTTTGATCACAATAAAAGTTACCTTCACAAGAACTGGGGGAAGGGAGGACAGGCTCCCCCATCATGGATCATATGGAAAACACTGACTAATCAAGTTAGACAGCTCAAAATGAGGAGAGAAAGAAATAGATTTCAAAAGTTTCCAGGCTCTAACCTCTTACATACCAAGCTAGCCAACATAGCTTTCTTTAGTCCCCAGACGGTGGCCGAACAGAATAATAAATCATCAGGACTAGCTGTAGTGTTGATATTCTGTCAGCATACTAGGTAAAATGAAAAATAGATCCATCTATGCAGTAACTTGGAAATTATGTATATAATCTCACCAAAAAAGGAAAACCTCACAGTTTAAATTCTACTTAAAATTCTTATCAAAACTATAAAATGGCAAGTGTCTATACTTTGCTATTTTGTACCAAATCCAACAGTGACACGTTTATGGAATTACATTTCCTAACAAATCAACAAAATTTTCTGAGCTATCTTAATGACCCTGAATATTGCAAACAATTAAGATTTATTTGCATCCTTAAATGAAAGCATATGGTATTGATTTGTACAAGGTTTAATACTTCTTACTAGTGTTTAAAACAATAAAATAATAATTGCACTCTGTTCTTTATAGACCACAGCACATATGCTCTTTTTGAATTCACAAAACAGAGAAGCTAATAAGCATATCAATTTGTTATTAACCCAGAGTAAAATGTACACTACGGTGAGTAACAGCAATTCATAAATGATGGCTCACAGGCTTATTTCATTTAATTTATGGTTTCTGATATTCAGAAAGCCATTAATTCTGTAAGATGCCCTGGGCAAATACATGTTGAAATTAAGTCATCTGCCTACCTTTGTCCAGATTTTAAGTACTTGATGTATATGAGCAAGAGAGCTCAGTCAATGCTAGGTAGTAACAAAATAAATTGTCTAAGAAGGCTAAAAATTTGAGAATGTGTGTTTGTGTGTTTAAACCTGATCAAGGTTCCTTACAGTCATTACTTAGGAATTTAAAGCTCCCATTTTTCTACGGATCACGGGTGAGGAGCAGACTTCTTTTCTTAACCTTTTAAGACATCATGTAAGGGGCTGCCCATTTGCAAGGCCTCAAGGACAGAGTAGGTGCTCATCAAATACTGATTGAGTAATGGGTCCCACTCACTACAGCAGTTTTAACTCATCCCCTCTTGGTAACCTGATCTGAAGAAAGTATTAAAATCACCTTTGTAAACAAGAGTCACTGTGGGAGGGAGAATGGCACAGGGAGCGTTTGAGCCATGAAAGCTCTCCTCCAGTTTTGCCATCTTTGCCTTGTCCACAACAATATTAGTCCACAAAAGTGATAGATTGCTTCACATGTTCAAATTCAAGTTCATCACTGGCTGAATTTGTATCTCAATTTTAGGAAAAATATTCTACTCTAGAAAACCAGTTCTTTTAAATATCTAGAATATATAATTCCAGTGACATTTTAAAAAATGTTTAACTTTCAAATTATATGTGGCCTTGATAATAGGTTTAGGAAAAGAAACTCAATTTTTTTTTTTAATTTTAAAGAGAGTAATAAATGAGAAACAAACAAACAAAGGAAATAGAACAGTAGCAGCATACCGGTATCAAGAACATAAACAAATCAGAGCAAGAACATTCAAAGTGATGCAGGGGCTAATGACAAAATAATACAAATCAACAATGGTTGTTACATTACATTTTGCTATCCTCAACTACACTGCTCAGATTACCAGATATAAGAATAAAAGATTGCTCAAACCATTAAAGGGAATAAGAAAATAATTATTTGATAAAACATTAGAGATAATACAGAGTTTCACTAGACAAGCTGGTAGGAGTTCACCACTGTAATTCCATTGCATGTTGTTACCTTCAAATCAGTTGCTCAGATTACCAGACACAAGCATGCAAAGTTGATCAGAACATAAAAAATTGTGAGCATTAACTTCATTTCCATACACCATCAGACATCAGCAGTACAGTCATCGCAGCTATTCATATATATATTTATATTTTGCCTTCCTTCTTTTTTTTTCTCCTTTCCCTCATCCCAGTTGTTTCTTCTTTTGAGCAATTTCTTTCCCTTTCCTATCATCTATTGTACATTTTGAAGGAAGCTCTATTTTGAACATCTATATTCCATGCATTATTTTTCTATCCTAGACTCTTCATATATAAACAAACTTAAAGGAAAATCCCAATAATTTGGCATCCAGTTGGAATGACTATACCCTCTCTAACACTGCAAAGGTAGAACTTGGCTGAATTAAAGCAATATAATGACCACTCAGAATTTTATGAAATGCAGTTTGAGGTCTGTCTCTCTCACACACACACACAGATACACACACACAGAATTTATAGAATTATGTTTGTGTTTGTTAGTATGTTTTCGTTCTTTTATCTTTAAAATAGTATTTAGTTTTTCTCAGAGCTCATTTTCATAATTTATTACAAAAATTTTCATAAGTTATTTTACTTGATTTAAGAAGAAGCACCTTGCACCGAGTAGGTTGTTAATGAACAGGTACTTAGCTATGATTCCAGTTCTACAGAGAAATATACAATGTGGTTAAAACACTTGTCTTACATATGTTGGTGATATATGATATAAGGTCTTCATATGCAACAAGATATTTTAGTAGAATAGAATGAAATGAAAGTGGAAAATGTAAGTATATTCCAGGAAATCACAGGAATGCTCACAAAAAACCCACCAAGAAATATCTCCTGTATCTTTTCTGCTAGGACCTTTAATTAATGTTAAATAGTTGTTTTGAGCTGCAGTGGTAGTTCTGTCATTTTCTAGTAACAAAAAGTAAGAGATACAGCAGGCGAAAGAGTTGCATGTGGTTATGAGAAAATTCCTTTCTCTACTCTAGTTGAGTTGTTAAGGTTTATAACCATATTAACAGAGGAATGTTTTGTTAACTATTGCAAACAGATGTGCACATTTTGGTGGAACATTTTTAAACTATAGGAGAGCAATTAGGAAAGAGGGTGTCATTTTAATCTACTGGAATCCCCACATACATTTGGTTTGATAAATTTCTAATAAAGCAGTTTAAGGACTGATGGACACTGTAATCTTAACTCAAAGGTAACGCAACAGGAGGAGGTTGTTTCCCAGCGTATTGCTTTATCCTGACTTTACAGGAATGGCCAAAAAAACATTGCAGAACATTTTGTGACTAACATTTCATTTTGTTAACAATCCGATGAACTGTTCGAGATTGTATGAAAACTGCAGTACAAGGTCGGATGTAAACTGCAGTACAAGGTCGGATGTACGTAGCATTCCTATTTCTCTGACCCATTTTGTCCCTTTCTGCCCAAAAATACTGCACATTTGAACCTGCTAAAGAGCAAAAACACTTATGTGTTGTTCAAGCACTTATAAATATTCTTGAAACAGGTCAATGAATTTGGGGGCTGGCCATTCCCACTTTGTTGAGTTACTCATCATAAAACAAATTATGGGGTAGGGAAACTTAAAAGTTTATGAGGTGGACATGGAAATATTTTAAGCACACCAAAAGAAATATCCATAAATATTCCAAGTCACATTATTCCCAGAAGTTCTGCCCCTGGAAGACAGCACATCATTCTCTTAGCCAATCACCATCTAGCTACATTATTCTTGGAGTCATAACTTTAGGAATAGTGTCAGAAACCAAGTGGGAATCAGAGTATTTAAGGTCAGTGGTTAGAAAATCATCTATCCTGCTCACAGCACTACTAAGCGCCAGTACCCACAATTCTCTGAACACGTTCCTACATTTTGAGTTTCGGATTTTGAAACTAGAAAAAGCAACTCAATTGAATGCAGACCTTGAACTTTACTCACACAAATCTGCATAAAAGATTACAATTCTAATAGGCAAATATTAAAAATTGAGTTGCTTGTACTTTCATGTTAGATAATAACCTAGAAATCTGCTTTTGGGTTTAGTTTGGGTTTGTTTGCTTTACCACCAACGGAAAGAAAAATACAAAGAATGTTTTGAGTTATAATATTTCATGAGAAAGGAACAACAAAACCCCAAAACAGTTCTCTCCAAATAACTAGGTAAATATTTTAAAGTATTTTAAGATTTCACCTAGAACAATATAAGAAAAAAAAAATTCAATAGGAAAAGCTTGAAGTTTACACAAAATGTGTGCATGTATGTAAAGGTTGAATTATTTCTGCTCAGGCTGAGTAACAGTAAAATTTTACTTAATATGAGGAAGTGTTTCTGCTAAGAAAGAGTGGATTAAAATTGATGTTGAATAGTTGTATGTTTTTAATAAAATCAGAATATAAACAATATTTCAAGATCAACATTAACAGTTACAGAGGCAAATAGTGCCAGCTACTTTGAAAACGCACACAAGATGAAACAAGCACCTAACAGGTGCTTAATGTTACTAACAAAGACAGATTTTACAGTGCTTTAGTTTTTTTCATAAGTTTAGAGACAGCTCTCTATAAGAATACTAATTATAGCATGAGCTTCTGAGTATTGATTTACTGATTATAATTTTTTTCATCACTACAAAATTATTTCCAAGATAGCTAAAGGTTTATCTTGATAATAAACATTTAATCATCTTTTTGTAAAATATATTAATTTGATATATCTTGATTTTTTTCTAGTTTTTTACTAGTTTAAAAAAAGCATGTTAATTACGTTTAAATTTTTAGATTAATACTTTAGGAATTATAAATATTCCTTTACTAGATAATATTTAAACTGACACAGTAGCTCATTCGTTTGCAATATAAAATTTTAAGGCAAAGAGACATGCATAATTTCAGTGTTAGGCAAGACTTAGATCAAATGTCTTTTAAAATTTCTAAACAAAAAATACAGAAAGTTTTTATATCTATTTACTGATTTTCCTGCTTGCATTTCCAATTGAACATTCCAATTACATTGGAAATTTAAATTTGATTTTGAAAAGCTACAGTGATACTTTTTCTGAGTTTTCTGTTTTGTATTTTAAGTGAGTGGAGTGAAGTAAAGAAAATTGGCTGGAACTCACAACTCTTCTAAATGGGTCCCATTTATTCATTTGCCACAAATGTAAAACAAATGCAACGTATATTCTAAGTAGTCCTAAGAGATACTGCAACTTGTTTTAATTTACTTCAGGGAAATGTGGCAGACTGCGATGACCACTCTGGGACCTTATAAAAGGTTATCAGACATTTACAATAATATACAGTATGTGCTAATACTCCTGTCCTAAAAGGTTTATGATGGCATAGAAAATATGTAGCCATTAAATAAGTTATAATTTTTAAGGAATGTCCATATAAATTGTCAACTAACTCAACTGTATTGCAGAATTCAAACTTTATTATTATTCAGTAATATAAATATATAAAAGTTAAGCTACACATATACTCCATTTTAGGAAAACAGAAAGTAAGAATTCATAAAAGACATTAACTGAGTGACATTTCTTCAGATTTGCCCTCAATTTTTTTAAGATAGCTATATTTTAAAATATCCATCCATACATTTACTATAATTATAGTTTCTTTACATGTATGAGTATTCTACAAAAATTTTTAAATAAACCTGCACTGCTTTACAACTATTTCCCTTTAAAAATACTTTGCTTTACAAAAAAATATTACCTAGTGGTTGTGTTTTCTCTGAGTATTTACTAAAGAGAATAAGGACAAAACGGACATCATGTTTAGGAACAGTTAACCACTAAAAACTGGATTTTGACAGTGTAATCAAAATTCAAATTTGGGGAAATCACAGTTGATTCAGTCTCACTAAAAAGGCAGATATGCTAAATTCTATTTTGGCTTGCCCCTAACCAGCTAAAGGAGTGGAACCAATATTATGACAGGCACTTAGACGTATCTTATTTTATAATTAATGTTTTAGATATATAAAACACACAACCATTATAGGTTCTATTACACGATTCAACTCACATTAGATGTAGAACTTTAAGCCAATGAGGTCAGTACACAGGAAAGAATACCTATGCTGCCAGCATTTACTTTTAAATAATGTGTATGGATTTATCCAGAGGTGTAGCCTTAGCATTATTTACCTAAGGCACTGGATTTTTATTTGGTCTAATACATACCTGCCTTCCAGCTTCATTATTATGTAGGTTCACCGCTAACAGTACTTTGCTATCTTTTTCTGTGGTGTTTTTGATGGGCAAATCCAGGAACTTTCTGCTGAACCACATGCCATACTGGACATCATCGGAGCAGCCCCCCCAGTGCCAGCCTTCACTTGTGGAGCCGCCATTCTGCAAGGTGGTGTCACAGGAGCATTCTGTCATGTTGCCTGCACTGCACGACCTGGTCACCGAGTGTACCAGGCCTGCAGCCATCACAGCATAAATAAACGCTGTCTCCTTGGTGCCTAGAATAACACATAAATTGCTAAATTAGACAACCATGCCACTTTCTGTGTACGTTCAGAGCAAAACTCTTTCAAGGCAAGCAATTTTTCAATAGCCGAATGTTTTGATGAGTACATATACAGGAAGATCTTTTATTGTTCTCGTCTTTTAAAAAGCAATATTCATTTTCAGTATTCCACTTAAAGAGTTTGTTTTTCATACATTGTCTTTATATCTTAAAACCATCTTTTAAAAATTTAAAATAAAATTTAAAAAGTTCAAAACCTAGCTTAGTGTTTAATAATAATAGCTCAATACTATGTGTTGAATTTTACATCTTTTACATGGGTACAGTAAGTAGTAGTAAAACACCTAAATGAAACTAGATTACTTTTCCTTTTAAATTTAAAACTTCACAGGCTGAATTTTTGGTATGATTTTTGTTTGCATAAATCATATTTATCAGTACGTAAATTAAAATTATGCAAGATCAAGCTAATTTATAGAGAAATGTTAGTTTACTTTTACATTAAAGAGTAGACTTCTTTTTAGAAAAAACACTATTAATAACAACCACTGATCGTAATAAGAAGCTCTGAACATTTTATATAACACTAGTTAATCCTTTCGCAGTCTTAAAGGTAAGAATTAAAATGTCACTATCAAAAAAAACTCATTGAAAAGTATCTTTTATTGAAATAGTTGTATTTAGCACTCCTGTAGTAGAGTTTGAGCTAAAAATCTTTAAAAATTAAAGTTCAACTAAAATATTAATAAAATAGACCAGAAAGGATTCAGCAGGCAACTATTCTTTTTTTCCTTTCCAGATGTTTAGATTGGAGTAGAGACAGTTTCGTGTCCGTTGTCCAGTAAACGCTTTGAACAGCGAAAGCTTCTGGGTTTCAGCAGCTGTGGGGAGCGCATCTGCCCCTCTTTCTCCTCTCTCCGACCGGCCGGGCGCCCCGGAAGCCGCGCGGGAGCGGGCGGGGCAGGGGCTCTGGCGACCCGCGAGGGCCCGCGGGCGGCGGGGTCGAGGTGCAGCGAGAACGGAAAGGACCTTGGAAGCGGCAGCGCATCTGCCAGAGCCCGGCCGACAAGGCTTGGACTCTGCCGCGATTTCTGGAGCAGCCCTGACCCCGCAGCCTCTGCCGGGTCCCTGCGCACGTGGGACCAGGACTTCGCTTTTCACCCCGCAGCTCCTGCGCGGGGGCGCAGCGAGGGACGCGAGAGCGGGCGCGCGGAGGGGCAGTCAGCCCTCCGGCCCGGGCAGAGCCTCGCGGA